TGTCAGGGCTCAACTATGGAACAACGGGTCAGTAACTACAGCTGATTCTACTATAGCAAGGGGATGACATGGGCCACACCAACCAAATTGCCGGTAGGTTGCTCGCCAAGAGCCATTGCCACTTGGAAACACGTTTAATGTTGACTGTGGCTTAATTAGAATGAACTTGTTGGATAAGTTGAAGCCGAGTTATGTTATACGATCAGAATGCTAGCATCTTTTTTTGCCTCTCATACTAGCCAGGCCTGTGGAATTGTCGCAGGTGGTGGTGGTGGTGGTGGTGGTGGTGGTGGTGGTGGTGGTGGTGGTGGTGGTGGTGGTGGTGGTGGTGTTGTGGGCTTCCCCGAGAGCATGTCTTCGCAGCTCCTGCCGTTTTGGTGGAACTGGTTCGTGCTTCTGGCATGTTGCAGCCAGATTCTAGCCTCGAGATGTCAGGATCATTCGCCCTATGCTTGGCAGTTTTGTACCAGGAACCCGATGTGGAGCAGGAGCACCACGGGGCCGCGTTGCGCACCTTTGGACCATCTTTGTTTTCGCCAAAAATGGGACTCCGGGGGTTGGCAGTGAACCAGGGAACCTCCGGCAACATCAAAGACCCGATTCCATTTGAGCCGCGGCGTGGCGGCACACGCATAGTTGCCGACCAGGTGGGCAACATTTCTGGCACCAACTTGCCACGGGGCTGCAGTAAAAGGGGTGAGATCGTGCAGATTGCTTCAAGCCAAGGTGTTTCGTCCTTAGTATCTTTGTTTGGAAGATTTGTGCCATTTGTGTCGTTGCCTTCTCGCAACATAGCTCAATTGTGAAGCAGCCAGAAGGGTTGCTTGATTGCTTCCCCAAGACTTGTGCATCAGAATAAACCCCTGGAGAGATGTTGTTGCCAGTACCCAGGAATCGACCGCTTAGTGTTAGTAGGCCTGGTACCTGGTAGTAGCCTGCTATTTCTGTTGTTTATAAGTCCGCGCAGTGAGGCATTCGCCAATGTCTGAGTAGGGCAACTCAACGTCAACATGGGTACGGTATGGTAGGCTGTTTCCTGAATTGATCAACCCGTGTTTTTAGAATTGAATCAAGGAACACCCACATGAAAGCCAATCATTTGGGAGGGGTTCGTTTTCGGGAAGCATCCAAACTTTGTAGCATTGCAGGGATGCAAGTAAAAGTGTAATGTTGACACTCTGTGGCCCCCAGTCATGCGGGGGTCCGTGTTTAGTGTGGATTCATGTCTTCCAGGGAAAACAAAACTGATTCACAAATTGGGAGGTTTATTACTCAGGGCCAACCTTGTTTCAGAGACAGTATGCTGCACTTCACCCTTACCCCCGTTCGGTCAACCGTGCCCAGATACCTGGCAGAACTCGCTGAATTTCGCACACAGCTCAAGGGACTCAAATCCCCATGAGTTCTTCTCGGGTCTCCTCCAAAAGACGTGATTTAGCTGAAAATCCGAGTTTTTTGTGCACCGCTGTGGGCCAAGTCTTGGGGGAATCAGTGAGTGCTGAAAACACACCCCTATTTGCTATTTCGGTTGGTTCTACCTGGTTTAGCAATGGCTATAATGAGGCCAAAGAATACCTTTACCATCTTAGAACAAAAGCAAATGCTTGTTTGGCGCTGGTCAAGTTATTTTGACTAGAGCCAACGGCTTACTTACCGTTTTCATATTCAACAAAATCAAATTTAGTAAACCATGAAGTGCTTAGGTGGGAGGGTATTTATCCCCGAAAAAAGGCTCACCCGAACGGGACAAAAACAGGTGATACTGTGGATGGCCGAATTTCTGCACCACCCAAGAAGCCCTAGAATAATAATTCTACTGTAAACACCAACAAACAATGGTTTCGGTTTCCCATGGTTTCAAAGTGGTGCGAAATGGATCTCGTGCATCCACAGTATTTACACCTACTAAGGGAAATACTAAATATATTTCACTTCGCCTGAGGCTGCTGCCCACCGATCTGCTCACCGACTGCGCCGAGGGCTTCCCCGCCAAGCCTGGCTGGGACGCTGCCAGTGGCCTGGGCGTCGGCCTCAAGAAGGAAGCGCAGACCAGTCCTCCTCTTTTTTGCTGGGTCCATTAAACTTGGTGGCTCCCAGCCATCCGGTTCCTTAGCTTTTTAGCCGTTTAGTGTTAGTAGTGGTAGTTTCCATTTAACACACTAAAAGTTAAGCTCTTAGCGGGGGATATGAGGGCAGCCCAGTAAAGTCAACATGTTAGGGGTTCTCCAAATCACGTTTCGTTTTTTCTCCCTTTAAGCCACCATGAGGGAAGTGGACCCAGGTTTAGGGGTACCCTCCCTCCAACAATGTAAGTTGGCCGGGTTTTGGAAGACAATGTTTTCCTTTTCGGGAAGCCCCAACAAGTCCATGTGATTGTAGGGAGGTCGATTTTTAAGATAAAACTGGGAGGGACCAAGCTGTGATCCGAATTAATTCGAGCGCAGCTAGGATCTTTTGTTGCGGTTCTGTCCAGAACTTCGACACGTTGAGTTGCTCGCAACTTTGGAAAGCCAGTAGCTATTTAGATTTGGGGAACCTCCTTTTGTTTGGTTTCAAAGGCAAGCCAAAATTAGACAAACTCATCATTTGGGGTCCAAGATCCAATTTTAACGTTTTTGGACCCCCAACAGTGGCAACGGCTTCCTTTCGGCGTTTACTTCAAACCAGCCCAGAAAGGGTGCCATCAAACCAAGGCACCCAAACCAAAGTGCACGGCCCCGTTTGGAAGACGGGCAAGCCATCTAAACGGCCTACCAGGACAACCAGCAATTCTTCGTCCAAGTGATGCTTAAGCTGGCTTCTTTGAGAAACACTTTCCGAGACTGACAAAGGTTTCCAGCAACCGTCGCAATGCCGGAGGAGAATCAAAACGGTTTTATGTGGACAAGCTGAGGTTTGGGTGGTTGAACTATTTGAAGCTCGTGGGAGCCCTGCATGCCGCACACCGAGGCTCTCCGAACTTCTACGAGATGCCGGGGAGCCCAGGGGCGGTCAGTGGGTGGCTCCGACCTTTTTTGAGGGTAATTACCCTTCTTTGGGTTGGATGTTGAAGCCACAAAAAGGGATTCCAGCCATTTGCGGGGTCCCCCATTTTGACACACACCCATATTTTTTGTCTATGGTCAATCTGGGTGGGACACTGGGGCTCACCAACTTTCCAAAGAACAAGGGGGACTTACTCATCGCTGCGCACGAGAGCTGCGTATGCCGATGGTAATTCGCGTGCATTGGACCCTGACGTCAGGGCTCCAGGCTGAGCAATGGAGTGGATGTTTTTGTTGCTACTCGGCAGGTCTCCTCCGTAGAAGCTCTCAAAAACTGCAACAAGGTATCTCATGAATCTGTACTGTTTGCGTGTGCATGTTTGAGAGAAAGCGAATCAGAGCGAGCAGCCCAAAGATGGCATGGCCATTTGAAGAGACCAGCCTGCTAAGAACAACTCACCAATGTAGGTGTGTTTGTTTGTGTGTGCTTTTTTTTTTTTTCTCTCTCTCTCTCTCTCTATCTCCCTGTTTTGTTGATGATGCGATATGTCGAACACAGCTATGTGTGTTATTGTGACCACCCTCCAACATGGTTGGTGAGCATAAACCCCCATGTCCGCCAATAGGTTCCCTCCCTGAAAGCAGCAAGGTTGGCAAGACAGAAGTTATAGCCGCCCATGCAAAACCTTAGCTATCAAAAGGCAAACGACGGCGAATGTGCCTCGGGGTCTCAAGGGCTGGTCATCTTGTTGCCAAACTTTGCCGAATGGCGTGTTTCGGTTCGGGATTCGGCTACATGTCAGGGTAGATGTTTTTGCAGGCTTGGGAGCAGAGGGCTCTCGTGCTCAGGATTCATTGTACTTGACCGCAAACACGGGTTTGTCTCGAATCAGGAGAGCCCCAACATGGGTGTTTTATCTTTGGTTTCTTTTTCAAACAACCCCAAAACAGGGTTCCCTAGACAAATAGACACCCATTTGCGAGTTCTATCAGAAGACAGCGTCGCAGTTGCCAGGCCCTGCCAGGCAAGATGAAGTCTCAGCTGATCGAATTGTTTGACTCTGTTGTCTTTATTTCACGGTGGATGTGGCTGCTAAGCGACGTGGACCAGATCATGCAACCACCACAACTGTTCGTTTAGAACAACTTTAGCTATGCCGCAGTGGCAACCCCATTGTATGTCCATTGCACTCAAGTATCGCAGCTATGATATGCAGGGGACCTTTCTTTGGCCCTTGATCGGTAGGGATATGTTGGGTGCAGAATTCCTCGCCTCCAGTGATGCAACCGCTTTGGAACCTCTCAGGCTGCAGCACATGGTGCCGGCGAGTCAGCGTGGCTCTGGTGCCTTTGTAGAGCTGGTGTGATGGTGCCAAGTTACTCGAGAAAAAAGTGCGCGAAGGCTGAACAGGAGTTGGTTTTGCTGAAAGAGCCCGGCGCTGTGGGTTTTCCCCCACAGGATGGGCCACTGACACACTTGGTGCTTTGTACCCCTTGAGGCTCTGGCGTTCGATCAGGTCACCGCAATACAAAGAACCCTGCTTGGCTTGTAGAGACTCGTTGTTTTGCGCGGCTCATGAACTCATTGAAGTTATGTTCCCACAATCGACCATCCAAAGCTTGGGGAAGTTCACTTGGACACCTGTTGGACCTTGACCCGTTTGTTCAACCTATGATAAGCTCCTCAATAAAGGGACATAAATCATGTTCGTAGCGCCGTCCGCTGATTTTCAACTACTTGGCTTTGACCCAGGACTTTTCATCTCAGAGACGTTCCAGGTTTTGTACCCAAGTATAGGATATTTTAGCCTCAGCACATGAGCCACAATCAAAACCCGGGTAGATGAAGGTTAGTAAGGGCCAATCCCAGCCAGAAATAGCTGCGGATATCCGCCTTCTTAATTCTTGAAGCATGGCTCTGGTTTAATACCGGGTTTTGATGGTGGCTCACATGGGAGCAGATTGCCGGTCCGTTTTCCAGGCCGGGCTTGGTCGGGCGCTCGCAGTTCGCGCCAGGGCTTGGTGGTGCAGAAGGTGGATGGCTTGCAGGAGGACGAAAAGGCCGCAGGGAGCTCAGTATGGGCGTGAAAAACTTTGCTCCATTTACAGCGGCCAATTGGGTATGGGTCAAAATTGAAACCACTAGGGGACCGCAGGGTTCAGTCCATGTTTCCATTTACTAGGGTTCCATTGTGGTACCTATTTCTGACCCACAGCCATATGGTCAGATAGGATTGCAACATGTGTCGTGGCTACGTGCGATAGTGTCCTCGCAAGGGGGTTGGAGGGTGCGATCTGAAGAGCAAAAACTGTTTAAGTGGCAGTCCCACCCAGAAGTAGCTGTATTTGGCTGAATTCTGCGGGTGTAGACTACACCAGTAAGTAGGCATCCATCGATTGTTGAAGGGTTGATACTTTTGTTACTTTCACCGGGTGTCTTTGACCTGAAAGCGGAGGGGCATTCTTTGATTTGTCCAGACCCCTTTTGGCAACACCCCGAAAAAGAGACAAACCACAACTTGACCCGCAGAATCGGAGACAAATCAGGCCAAGCGCCCATTTTCCGGGGGAATGGCCCCTAGAGCCAAGGTTGGCATCTTGGTTTTGGCCGGAAGCAGAGAGCATCGCCAACGCACCAAGCGTTTGAGTGCCTGACTCTCAGGCCACCACCGTGGCAGTGGCTCAAGTGCCCGCCTCAGAGGGCAGGGAAGGTGTAGCACAAGCCCGGCGCAGCGAAGCAGTTTTCACGTGTTGATTCCATCCGGAACTGCAAGGCTTTCTGTTTGGCGTTGGTTTGTGTTGTTACAAACCATTGGGTGTGTGTTTGGGTGTGCGTGTGCGGGGCTGCACATTGATTGTGATGAGCTTTTGATAGATCTGCGTAGGAGGACTTTGCACTGTCAAGTATCGGCATTGTTTGAAGCCAGCCTTGTGAACTTTGGTCCACTCGTCTGATCTGAGACCTCGAGGACTCATTCATGGCAAGTGCTGTGCTGTGACTTGCTAGGCAAGGATGGACTGCCGCAGTGTTGGTGTGATCGGGTTGCCTGTTGGTTGACATGCAATATACGTACTCCGAACAGTGTGCTGTACATCACATATGTGTATATATATATATGTATATATTGCCATGTATTCGCGCATGTACATATGTGCTTAGCATAGAACATGCCCCTTCCCGCGTTTTCGTGGCTGCGAAGACGGCACCCTGAGCGACTTTGACGCGTTGCCCAGGCACGCAAGAAGAAGATCCAGATCATCCTGCAGCTGATCCCTGCGTGTCTGGCTTAGGGATGATGAATCTGCGCCACAAAATCAAACGAGCTGATCTGGGGGCAAACACGAGCTCAGTTTGAAGGTCATTTACTGGGGGATTTTGTTTCCAGCTCGGGAATTTTGATCATGTTCAGGAGCTGGATGGAACTAAGCGTTTTTGACGTCAAAATTCAATGGCACGAACACAAGCTACTGTAGATCTGCCAAGATGCCATGTTGTAAGCGTGAGTGCAGCACAACTTCAACCCAGCACAATCTCAAAACTCAAGACAGATTTTGTGCGAGAAACGAGAAACGTGAAGCAAATGACTCAAACAGCAATGGCTGGGCATCATCAAGCTATTGAAACATAGTAAACAAGCACATTTTGTTTGGTCTGATTCCAGGGCCAAGTGGGTTCTATGTCGCACGACTAGGCCGGACGTGGCGGGTCTTTTCAACATAGAGAAGCACCCGGCTGGGAAGCCCCTCACCGGTGCCAAGCGCGGCACTCAGATCGCAAAGGGAGGTTTTGGGGCGAGTGAACCTTTGGCTTCTGTTTGCTTCAACTGTTGGTCACCTAAGTCATTTTTGGTTTCTAAGCGTGTTTGGTCCACTTTCAGACGCTTCATTCTTTAGTTTCTGGTGTTTGCTTCAAATGTTGACCGCTTCAGTCATCTTGGGTTTCAGGTGTTTGGTTCACATTTCTTTGCTTTAGTCTTGTTTGGGTATCTGATGTTTTTTTTTCTTCTTTTTTTCAAGGCTCAAGAGCCGCTTGCCCTGCGTTTGCGCATTCACACGCAACTGGAGTCTGATTTGAAATCCCATGGCCTATGCAGCCCGAAGGCTCCAAGGCACATGCACTCTCTTGGAGCAAGTGATGAGTCATTGCCCTCCCAGGTACATGCATGTGCATGGAAATGCTGTATATTAATATATATATATATACACACTTATTAACGTGTGTCTATTAGTGCGTGTCTACATGCGTATATGTTATATTCATACATACATACATACATACATACATACATGCAGCATGCATGCATGCATGCATGCATATATATATACATATATATATATATATTCATGCACATATATATATATATGCCTGCATACATACATACATACATACATACATACATACATACATACATACATACATACATGCATCCATGCATGCATGCATGCATACATACATACATACATACATACATACACACATACACACATACACACATACACACATACACACATACACACATACATACACGCATGCATGCATGCATGCATGCATACATACACACATACACACATACACACATACACACATACACACATACACACATACACACATACACACATACACACATACACCCATACATACACACATACACCCATACATACACACATACACGCATACACCCATACATACACACATACACATACACACATACACACATACACACATACACACATACCCACATACACACATACACACATACACACATACACACATACACACACACACACATACACACATACACACATACACACATGCACACATACACACATACACGCATACACGCATACACGCATACACGCATACACACATACATACACACACACAGACACACATACATACATACATGCATACATACATACATACATACATACATACACACACCCATACACACATACACACACCCATACACACATACATACATACATACATACATACATACATACATAGATACATACATACATACATACATACATACATACACCCATACACACATACACACACCCATACACACATACATACATACATACATAGATACATACATACATACACACGTACATACATACATACATACATACATACATACATACATACATACATACATACATACATACATACATACATACATACATACATACATACATACATACATACATACATACATACATACATACATACATACATACATACATACATACATACATACATACATACATACATACATACATACATACATACATACATACATACATACATACATACATACATACATACATACATACATACATACATAGATAGATAGATAGATAGATAGATACATACATACATACATACATACATACATACATCAACGCACGTCTATTTGCACTCTTCTAGCAAGCTTACTGGAGGGTAACATGAGTTCACCATGATGAAGATTACTTAGGGTTCTTAAGCTCTGGTGGAGGCGTCCTTGTGCTAGAATATATGTCAGATGGTTTCCACCTGTTTCCACCATTCCCCCCCCCCCCCCCCAAATCGGTATATGCAGGGAGCTCATGGCTTGGGATATGCAACCACTATTTGTGGTTACTATAGAAAGGGATACCTACCCTCCGTTTTGGGATAGGGGTGGTTTGGGGGTGGTTTGAGCAATTCTGCCATGGCCGGGTTTCAGGTTGGGACCTCCCTTGGACACGGTGAAGCGGGATCACGCCGGGGGACTTGGCTTGGACTCGAATCAGCAGCTCACGGATGGCACGCAACATGGACACGAAACCAAACAAGTCAGTGTGTTTGCACAGGGCAAACTCCAGCTCAAACAAAAGGCGCGATTGTGCAACAGGAGGTTTCGACGAAGGTGCTTGAAGGGACGTGTACGTTGTGCTTCATGGAGGGAGCTGGAAGACTCATGTTCTCATTTGCACATCAGGGGGGATGGGTTGATGTGACGTTCGGGTGAATGGGCCACTGTTTTGAGTCCGTGAAGTCCAGTTCTCTGGGAAGCTACACGGGCCTGGTGCCAGAAAGGAGCGCCACAAGGTTTTCACCAGCGGAACATCAGGCTGGGGGGAACCCTGCGTTTTTGACCCGGGTCCACAAACCGCAGAGGGTAAAGCAGTCAACCAGGCTTGGGGTTGCAAGCTCATGCCCATTCTGGTTGCTTCAGACCTCAGGTCTGCCTCGTGCTTCATACCTCCGGTACTACCAAGAAGCCTAAGATTGTGCCCATCACGCCGGCGCGCCCAGCGCCCTACCACTGCTTTTTTGACAAGCTCTTGGGGAGTTTTGGACATGGGAAGCAACCCTTGGTGCTGGTGGTTCATGGGGCTGTGTACTCACTTCCTGAGTTCCAAGACTTTAAACTTTTGGGAAGACCACTTGAGTGGCAAACAACAAGTTTGGACTTTTTTTCCCAATCCACTCAGGAAGGGAGTTTATCTTTGACGTGTTCATGGTCTTTGTTGGTGATAAGTATCTAAGTTGCACTCAGAACTAGGATCCTGGTCAAAGCTAACCACTGCCCCTTAAAGAACTCGGCACAGCGAGTGCACACATTGACGAATAGAACTTCACAGCTTGAATTTTCGAGCACTTGCAGAGTCGTTGTCTTGTGGCGATCTGCGGCAATAGCTCCATAAACATTTGAAAGCGTATGTGTCCTTCCTTTTTTGTTGCTTCTCTGTGGCGAATTGGGAGAAAGCTAACTTGAACCTCACCAAACAGTAGCCCTGCTTAGGTGATGCAGTCACTTTGCCCCAACTTTGGACTCCGGAGCACCGTGCCAGGAAGGCGGTTCCCCCTTGTAGCAGTGAGAAGATTAGCATCATCAACATAGGCACTGTTGTGGTCCTCATTCAATTCCGCAGGTCAAAATGCGGCCTCCCTTGCAGACCATGACTGTGGGATATCGGGTTTTAGGTTGCCACTTTCTTGTTTCCAAGGGGATCTCCTCGGAAACGCTATAGGTGTGTGGATGAGAATCCGACGTTGGTATCAGAGGAAGGGCTATTTTCCACCCCACATTGAAGGTATGGTCCACTTATCACAGCTTATACCAAAAAAAACACATTGGGTTGTTATGAACACTGAAAGGTTTTTGTTAAACCAAGTCAGACAAAAGCAATGGGTTGTTATAAGCACCTTGGGTTTTGGATGTGTTTCACAGCCATACTGTGGATGGACAAAATCCGTCGGCACCACTTTCAACCCGTGGTTGACACCATAACCTTTTTGTTGGCATTTACGTTGGGTAATCGCATCAGACATGGGTATGGGTCAAAATTCAGCAACCCGGGGACCGCAGGTAGTCCATGTCTCCATCCAGGGCAGCCCATTTTGGGGTCCGATTTTTGCCAACAGCCACATTGGGTCCGAGTTCGGTGCGTTGAGTTCGGGACGCCGCCTTCCCGAGGCACGAGAGCATGGCCATCGGCGGCATGTGCCATGCCGCGGCCAACCTGTTGGGACCGGAGGACGTCTTCGTGAACACCATGCGGGGCCGAAATTTCTTGGGGGGTGGGGTGGGGGGGGGTGGGGGGGCTTTCGTTTCTTTGGGTTTGGGTTGGTTCTGGTTGTTTTTCCCTGGGTTTTCCTGGGAACTCGCTGTTCCTTTGCTTCTTTCGAGGTTTGGAGGGGCGAACTTGATCAGGTACCCCTAGCCCCTGGTTGGTGGTACTGGGGGTTGCCTTTCCTGGTTTTGGCATTCCTTGAGTGTTTTTTCTTCTGGGGGAAAGCTCAGGTAAGCCCCAGGGATTTGAAGCCCTGTTTTTGGAGGGTGAACGGAAAACCATCCCGGCACTAGGCTCCAAATTTCCAGGCTCCAAGCCACCAAGGAAGCTGAGGACCTGTATGGTGGACACATCGAGTCTACGTATTTTGCAGCCTGTGTGTGCAGGGAAAAAGGTTTTCGAAGCTTCTTGGCTGCAAATCTGCCTCTCGGTGTCCATGGCACGGGGGCACCCCCTCTAAAACGCAGCACCAAGCAGGCTCTTCTTGGCCCCGAAAAGGGGAGGCGCAATTCTGAAGAAGAACGCTTTGTGACCAAAAGAAAGCAAAGATCAAATGCACAAGGAGCGATACTTTCTCGCTTGCAGAAGCCTCATGCAGGCTTTGGGGTCAACTTGCGTTTCGCCTCCAGAGTTTATCATGGTGTTGGTGTAAAGGGACACCGAAAGGAGAACCACCTTTAGTGGGCCCCCTGTTTTTGACACACCAACATTAGGAGGTTAATTATATTTATTATTTACACAAATTTGAACTATGGGATGCTGCCCTTGCTTTTGTGATGACCTTCGGTCGTCTTGCAAGGCTCGGGGTGTTTCAGAAGTGTTTCCTCCAGAAAACGCATCGCGGTAACGGTGAACAACTGGTGCCGATCGCCGCGGATTTGGTCCATCCGCCGCGGTGTCTCAGGCCGATGTTCCACATCGCCGGCTTGATGGAGAACCTGCTGATGTCTGCGCACCTCGGCGCGAGTTTATTTTCCCAGAGCTGTGGGGCCCCTCAACAAGAAGTTTGCACCACTCACTCCCTGAGCTCCGTTTCAGACTTTAGAAGACCGCCTTAGTGGTAGAAAGTCCAGACTGTTTTCTGGCCATTCCACTCGCTGTGTTTTGAGCTTATTCTATCACTTAGCGAGCCAGCGTTACAGATCGCCAAACTAGAAGGCGCCATGGCACTGCGATCGTGTCCTGAAGTTGATTGAAGCATTCAGGTGAACGAACCATGGGCTGAATTTTACGAGATCCAACCACATTGGTGTTTCTGACGACGGACAAGCACCGGCCGTTAGGAAGCCTATGTTCCGGTCCACAGTGAAGGACGAAATCCTGCACCACTTTGAAACCATGGGAAACCATTGTTTGTTGGTATTTACAGGGGAATCACCCTAGATTCTAGGGTTTCTTGGGTGGTGCAGGATTTCGTCCATCCACAGTAGGGAATGTCTTGGGCTTCAGCATGTTGTGGCACATGTTGCCGCGCCCCTTCAAAAAGCAAAGAGTCCCAACCTCCACTTGAATCCCAAGCCGCCTTCAGATATTCCTATCTCGTACCCTTAGTGAACATTCCAATCCCCACTAAAATAGACCAACATGGGTGGTGCACCTATCCCAAAATGGTACCATCGGTTTTGAACCATGGCCATATCTGTGCGCAGCGCTTGGGACGATCGTAGCAGTTCGGGGTCATCCAAAATAGGCACTAGCGAAAGGATTAGCTGGTGTCGCTGGCGGCGCAGGTACAGCGGTTGCAAGTTCGTGGCCCTGCCCGGCCAGTACCAGGTTGGGGGTGAAGCGCCGAAGCGCCGGATTTGCGAATCTGGCCAGTGTTGGAGCATAAAAATAGGATGGATTCCTGCCTCAAATTTTTAGGCGTGAGCCAGGAGGAAACCACCGTTTTGGGGGGTCCCCAAAAAAGACAGCCAAATCCATTCTTCTACGGTGGGCGCGGTACTCCAAGTTCCCTCCAAGTGAAGACCTGCGGTTTCTCCCCTTGGCTGGTGCTTAGTTCTGAGCCAGCTTTTTCAAAAAGAATCCACCCACTTTCAACGTATTCCTAACTCAAAGGGTATGATTCGAAACTGGGGACTGCCTGAGATTGCTTTGTTGCACCATGGTTCCCTTAACATGGAACCCGACAGGGGGTCACTTAAAAAGGACATTTCACGAGTCCTCGAGCTGGGCATTTGGCGAATTTGACCCCAGCCAACAGCAGCTGTGCAGAGGGTGGAGCCATTTGGAACCCAACCGTCAAATTCAGAAACAGACCTCATTTTTGGAGCCTTGGTCCCCCTCATTTGGATTCCAATGGATTTCGGAGGTGAGGCTCTGATGTTCGTCGGAATCCGCTAGAAACATGGAACACAAATGGGGAGACGGGGGGGGGGGGTTCCACCAAAACGGGTCTTCCATCAGCTTCCAATGTGCTTCTATCAAACCTGTGTTTTTCTGCCCGCTATTTTTGGAAGCTGTTGGTCCCCCTTGGTTCCTTCGTTGGCGATTTTGAGCGCCCCGGGGATCAAATTGCTGCGAGCGGCAGGCCCACAGCTTCTTCCAGGCGATGCAGAAGGAGCCGCTGTCGGGGCCCCTGACGGGGACCGGGACCGGGTGGCTCGGAGGTGGCTTTTTGAGTTGGTACTCAGTTTTGTTGGAAGCCAAAAGGAAGCACCCGCAAACATGGTCGGTCAAAAGGACAACCAAAGGGAAGCCAAAACAAAAAAGACTGTTTTTTTGGGGGTAAACATCCGTTTTTAGGGTGACTTCATGTTGCATTTCAAGGCTTACTCATTTACTCAAGGGGTGGAGTCTCAAAAAAGCAATAAAAAGGCGGTCGCCGTTCTGCGCTGTTCCCGAGCAGGGCCGGCATTCAGACCACAGCGGCTTACAACCACCGCCACCGGTGGCTTCCAATTGCTGGAGCTCCGGGCGCAATCTTCGCAATCGAAAACGACGATGGGGCCGTGGTGGTCGACACCAATGGGATCCCAGTTTGGTTGGCAGGTGCATTCACCACCCATTTTAGGACCTATTTTAGTGGGGATTGGGATGTTCACTGGGGGTACGATTTGGGTTTTGACCCATAGCCACAGAGGTGCTGATGTCCCTTTGGGGCTGCTTGTTTGCGACGATGCCTCCCGCAGCAAGCTGGCGAGAATATGAACATGCACGCTTTGTTTATTTTGTAAGTATGGCGCAATATTATATCATTCATGTATAAGAGTATTATTATTATTATTATTATTTATTATTATTATTATTATTATTATTATTATTATTATTATTATTATTATTATTATTATTATTATTTATTATTATTATTATTATTATTATTATTATTATTATTATTATTATTATTACAGTTATTATTCTACTGCCCAGTCTCGTTGGTTCCCATTTTCTGCAGGCCCCAACAATTGTCCTTTTGCTCTGCAGTGCAAACCTCAAGACCCAAACGCACTGGCATGGATCTGTCAAGACCCAGGAGGCCATCATTACTTCCCCAGAATTAGGTCTCTCTTTTTTTTTTTGGGGGGGGGGGCGGGGCGCGTTTTTTGGGGTCCCTTTGTTTTCCACTACCGGGCAAAAAACGTATTTTTTTTGCTGGGGTCCTAATTCCAGCCTAGATTAGAGGAATGTCCTTTTGGGGGACCCGAAAGCTTTTCGGGTTCCAGGATTACCTTTGTTCAAGGGAAGACGACACAGATATATTGGACGACTGCAACTCGACAAGGGATTGCCAATCATTGGCGAGAGGGCAACTTGCCGGGGAGCAAGTCCTTTCTGAATGTGGCCCCGGCCAAGGCCGACGTGCTACTCAGCGGTGCCCGCCCATCACATGTCGCTGATGTCGCTGGCCAAGGACAGCGAAGAACACAGCTGTAAGGTGCGCGTTCCTCATCAAATGGACGCGTCTTTTTTTGGGGGTCCGCCCCAAAGTGGTGGTTTCCTTTTTGGTTTCTCTTTAAACCAACCCCACAGGAATAAGCACCCTTAACAAAAAGACACACCCAATGGAACTCGAAAAGGACTACTGTAGCTGATGAACTGTTGCCCCCTGCCAAGCATCCAGACACTTCTGGGACGGGGGAAAGCCCCGGATGCCAGGGGCAATCCCTGCCCAGGAGGCCAAAAGCTTCGAGTCCGGGCACCCAGCCATGTAACTGAAACTCGAGTGGTGGCGGTTTGTGGTAGATACTCTCCAACCAACAAACAAAGTCTTTTCTTTTTTGAAAAAGGAAAGTAGTCTTCCAACAAGCTTTGTGCTGGGAGGGTTCTAATTTCTGCACACCTTCCGTGCTCGCATATCTGCATAGCGAGTAATGCACTGCAATAGAGCAAGCCTTGGTCTCTGCGGATCTTGCCGCTCTCTGCTTTCTTAAGTATTTCTCGGTTTTTCGTCTTGCTGGCTCGACAGGAACGGAATGAGTTGACCTCTACGAACCATCTCCTATGGTTGCAGGGAATCCCAAGATTCCCAACAAAAATCTGGGTCATTTAAACACTGAGCATCAGCAAGTCTTCTGCACAAATTTGTATGCCCTTTTTCCATGGCACGAATCTCCGCTCGTCTTGCTTTTCTCCTTGCTGTGCGTGTCTCCGCTTGTCTTGCTGTTATCCTTGCTCTTTTGCATTTTATTCGACCCTGATTTGTTGCTGCGGTCGGCTCTTCTCCTCTCGCTCCTCTCTGCTTTTTGCTGGCTCAATCATTTCAATCTTGACCTGGGTCTCTTATTAAGAATCAAAGCTGCGAATGGCTTCGGTTTTCCTTTCGGTTTCCCCTTACCACCAAAAAAAAGGCTACAAACTCAAAAAAAGACACACCCATCTTGTTCCTCAATTTGTCAATCTAGCTCCTTTTGTGGGCGTCACCTTCGCAGACTTTCTTCCATGCCTCGAGTTGGTCTCACACGTGTGGCCAGGTCATGGCGTACCTTGTGTTTTGCTCATCCATACACAAGTCTTGTCAACTTCTGTGGCAATTGGTGAGAAGGTTACATGCAAAACAGAGCGTCGCTGAATTTTGTCATGGGTTCTATGGAAGAGATGCCAGCAGTGGAGACATAGCTTAAGCAGTTTGCTGGTTGGCAAAGTGAACGACAGTTGTGACACGCGGAGTTTGTTGTGCCGCGTGCCGCGTTTTGGGGAGGCTTACAGTTTTAGGGCCAATCTCAGGGTGTTTGCTGTTTAGCTGGGAGGGGACTGGAGCAAGACGAGTCCTTGCGTTAATTTGTGCAGCTTACTCTCAGATTGGTCTGATGTCTGATCTTTCAGTGCCGAGTTCGCCTGTCTGATGTCTTGAAATGCTCAGAGCGTGGGCTCCAACCAATGAGCCTAGCGTCTCAGCGAGCTCGGGCTATTCTCCAGGCCATTGTGGTCCAATTCCTGGTGGTTTAATTTTGACCCATACCCAAATGGATTTGCATGAACCAAAGTTTGGATGTTCGAGATGCTTGTCAGCAATGTGGTGTTTGGTCCCTTTGGGGGCGCACTTAGGAGCCCCTTGCGGGTCATCCGCAACGACTCTGCGGCTTTGCTGCAGGGCGCCACAGTGAGCCAAGCCGTACTATATGCGCCTATTTTGTTTAAGAATGGGGTAGTTGGATGATGATAAGGCATTGCGTCATGCTGGGATAACGCGTGCATTTACTTTGCCTGTCGCGTTATCCTTTATGGAGTCTGGAAAGAGTTGCCTGGAAGGTATGTGTGAAAGGCTTAAATATGTTTTGTTGAGAAGGATATCAACAATTCTTTGTCAGGGTTTGCGTATGTCTTCTTGTTTGTTTTTGCCACGTTGCAATTATGAGCCATGTGAGAGGCTGAACTCAGAGGGCATCTTCTTTGGGCCGGCTGTAGGCAACGACGAAATGGTGCCGACATGAAGAAGCAACGCGTAGCCAATCCCGGGCGGTGAGTTGGCACCATGCCTCGGGAGCGAACGACGGCGCTCTCAAAGCGTAAGCGTTGATCTTCAAGCCCAAAGGCTTCAAGTTTCATTTTTCCCCCCAAGGCTGTGTCGAAAGGCTGAGTTGGTTTTTTAATGCAAATATTGGCTGGGGGAGGCCCACGTGTCCCTTGAGAGGGCAACAGGACAGTTTGGAGAGTGTATGCCTGGAGTTGAAGGAACAAGGAAAATTTGAATGATTTTGGCAGGCCCTAATGAAGGACGTTCATGGATTTGAATAGGGAGCCCTTTAAATAATCGTGTGCAAACAATGGCCACGTTCACGCACACACGCACACACACACACAGACACACGCATGCAACTGGTGGTGGGATACCCGATATGCCTGGATTTCCTTTTGTTTCCCGTCTTCACGACAATCCTGTGGACTAGGTCCCAACAGCTTTTTAATAACTACACCTTTGCACAAGCTGGGTTTTCAAAAGAGCGATGGTTGAACATAATTCAGCATCAACTCCTAGGCCCATGTGGGCGCGTCATTTTTGAGGACACCCTTACCAAAGAGGAAGCTGCTTTGCCCCACGTGCTTTGCGACTGGAGCCGCCGCTTTAGGCCCAGCCTGGCTGAGCAAATGGAGGAGTTCTTTAATGCCCCTTGGCAGGATGGAGGGAGCTGGAACTGGGTGCAGGGGGTTCAACCAAACACACAATGGTCGGTGTCTTTTTTTGAGAGTGGCGCTGTTAATACTTCAAGCTGTCAGTTGAAACCTATGTTGAAGGGATGAAGGTTAACGGAGTTGGTTCAGGTCTTTGCAAGGCTGATCCGTGCTTCGAGCGGTGCAAATTCAACCTGGAGAAGCCGGCGCCATGGGTCTACTCATGGTTGTCGTTGGGAAACATTTTACATTTTGCTTATTGTGGTTTAGTGGGAAATCGCCACTTAACTGCCAGAATTTTAATGTTTGCTCCCTTTCCAACGTCAACCAAGCACTAATTATTCAGTTGGTAGAGGGACATATTGAAAGTATCCTTTCTATCGAAAAGACACCGCTTGCAAACTTCCAGCTAGATTCAAGTCGTCCAACTGTCGTCAATTTCCTTGCATAGAGGATGTTCACGGAGTACGCAGATTACTTAAGAGCAATCCTTTCAATGGCTGTATCAGACGATGACCCGAAGCGTCCTCATGCAAAGTTTAATGATTATTCCCCATTCTTTATTTTCTTTCTGTATGGCAGTGACTGCTGGAAAACAACAAATCCAGAAGCACAGCGCCTGGCTTGACATGTGAACACGCTTAACGAGTGCAGAAAGGCGCGGAGCGTGTAGAAACACGAACCGTTGAGGATCGCAGGACTCTCATGGTCCCTAGTCCAGGGATCAATGAACTGCCCCTACAGTTGCAATTGACTGGTGGTTTCCAGTGAAACTGCAACTTTGGATTCCAAAACGGGACATGTAACCCTGTCACTCGTCCCCTTCTCGCGCTGTGGGAATCAGCCGCTTCAGTGAGACCGATCCCGACCTCGCCCAGGCGACAGTCCTGCCAGCCTACTCCATGACGGAGGTGAGTCGGTTTTCCTTCGACCTTGGTGCGGGATTTGGGTGTGTCTTTTTTTTAGGAATCGGACCTCCAAGATGGTGGCTTTCCTTTTGGTTGGCTTTTAAAGCCACAACAAAGGGGTACCCTCAAACAAGACATCCAAATATCACACAGGCTTTTAATTCGCCCTAAAGGAAACCAAACTAGTGATGCATTTGTGCTTTGATTTTTCCAGACCCCGTATTTAGCACCCAGGATTCTACAGGGGAACGACACCGGGTACACTTGCCAGAGTACTGCTAGACATTGGTGTTACTCACCAACAACATATGTCATTGCAGGCATAGTGAATATTTACTGAGGTTGGTGTGCAGTGCTGATCAAACCTTTGCGGGGCATCGCTCCTGCCTGCAACATAGAGACGGCTAAGCAGTTTTTTGTTTTTTGTTTTGGGTTGTTCCGAAATTGATTGCCGAACAGCATGTCTTCACTTGAGGTATACAACTGGTAGCAGGAGCTTCAGATTACCACCTACTCTTTGTCTTTTGCTTGTGCTTTGGGATCGGCTTGAAGAGACTGAGCCCACGAGATCGCTGAAAGCTCAGGATTTGGAGGAGTCCTGCATGACACATTTGGTAACATCCAAGTGGTCAATGTGGGATGGACGGGGGCTGAATTTCCCATGTCTCCACTTGGGTAGCAGCATATTTGGCCCAGAACCTGGGTCAAAACCACCAAGTACTTACTGCAGTTTCAGCAGTTGCCAGATTCCTGGCAGTTGCGAGTGGGCGCCTTCTCGACTTTCGGTGGGGCATTTTGAGTGCCACTCTTGATGAGTGTTCCTTTCGATTGGGTAATGGTTAAAGGTGGACAAGTAGGGAACCCCATTACCTACATGAAAGTCAAATTAAAATTGTCTCAACGGTTCGGAGGCTCGTGGGTGGAGGTCTATCGGCGTTTTGTTGAGTCAGTCCTTCCATGCTGCTGTGTTCAGTTGCCCCAAGTGAATCGACCACGTGACCTTCTGGCTTTGCGAGTTTTGCGCATGGTCAGTCTTGGTCCGAAAGTTTAGTCTATGATATTCGGGTTCTCTGCACACGCGAGTGTCCGCTTGGAAAGACGAAGCCAAAGATATCAGATGGTTGGCACAGTTCAGAAAGTCGGGCCTCCCCTAGAATCCATCCCGTGAAAGTTGCTAATGTATACCACGTAGTGTTGGTAAATGGGCAGTGTAGTCCTCCCGACAACCCACTTCTCTGAAAAGAGGGTGCGCGTCCAACGTTGTCACCTTGTATTTTGCCATGATAATCAAGACACCATGAAACCATTTGAGAATGTGCTGACATAGGTGGCGGGGGTTCCTGTCGGTTTCCCTTTAAAGCAACCCCACAAGGTCGTACACATCCATTTGCTGGTGGTGTTATAGTTGGACGCACAGCAAGGCGGCAGGTTCCGAATCCGCCATATTCCACCTGACCTGTTGGAATTCAACGTCTGTCAGGCCAACCCCTTGTGCTCGAACCCCAGGCGGGTGGTCTTGGTTTCTTGGTTGCCGCTGGTGGTGGGGAAAGGGATCATGACACTGTGACAATGGAATTCTGTCACGCGACCCCTGTGTGTTGCAGTGGTTGACTTGTTGGAGGCATGTGTGACAAGTGCTTGTACGGCTTGTACTTGCTTGGGCCTTCTGTCAGACTGGCAGCTCTGCAGTTGGCCATTTCGCAAAACGAGAAGAAACGCAGTCTGCGCAACCACGTGGAACGAAGGCGCTTGTCCTGCAAGGGTAGCAAAGAGAGCTGAAAGCAGAACAGACCAGCGGGTGGCTCGTCATTTTTTAAGAATACTTTTTTTTTGGGGAAAGGACAACCAGCCCCCTTTGTAGGGAGGGGGGTGAGTTAACATCAAGACCAGGTAACATCAACGCCTTGGTTGATTGATGATAGATAAACGGTACATTGCATGTAAAAAAGCAACAACCTATGATGCAACATATTCATGAAGGACAGCAGAGTACAATACATTTAGTTCACATGTACTGCGTGACACAGTCACAATGTGATCCGCTGGTTGACCTTTTGCAACGCTGGTTTGAGAAACAATGGTTTTGGGGTTGCCTTGCTACCTATCAAGACCCGACCCTCCTGCAGCGCTACTGGCGAAATTCCGGAACCATCAAATCAGCGCTGACTAGACGTGCCGAGACCATGGACAGGTATAGCAAGCATCACCGTTTGCGTCTCCGTCCCTCGAAATTTGCTCATTTTCGGCCAGGCCCCTTCCCTTTGCATTTCCTCTTCAGCGCAAGGAAGAATCAACAGCATGTACGTAGAGACCGGCCCCCACCTTTTCCCCTTGGGATGGCCCTCGACTCGCGCCCTTCCGGGGATAAGGGAGGGGGGGGGTTGTGCGCCAGGCACGGCGTGCGGAAGCTGAAGTCTGTTGGCCCGGCAGTGGGGCCAGGGCCCATAGCGACACGACTTGTCGGCGATTGCGGCGGTGGGGGGGGGGGGGGGGCAGGCTCACCGAAAAGCCCGCCAAAAAACGGTTCCGCACACCTCGTCCGGTCAAAGAAAAAAACATGTTAAGCTAGCAGGGCGACTCTTAAATCGCTGGACACGGCATATATGAAGACCCTCTGCAGGGCGGGCTGCGCCGGGGGGTTCTTTTGGCTCTTGGGCGCCTCGTTTGGGCTGTGCAGCGCTCTGAAAGAGGCTTTTTTGGGGCAACATGCGGCTTGTCATTGCCCGTTCATCAGCTTCAATGATTCGTATGGGGTATACGAGGCGACGACAAAACCGACGCCGGGCTCACTCACAAGTCAGCTTTAAATTATTGCTGTGTGTCATCCAGACAAGGTATTGTAGATTCATTTCGGTGCTGAACAGCACATGTGTGTTTTTCCCCTGAAGGCAACCAAAAGGAGACGGGTATTTCTCATTTGTGTTGAAGCTTTTCAAAATGGGTGTGGGTCAAAAAAAGGGTAACCTCAAAATGGGTTGCCCTGGTAAACGGGTTTCCAAGAATTCACATGCGGTCCAATTCCTGGTGGTTCAGTTTTGACCCATGCCACAGGAAGGACTCCGTGGATCCAAAAGAACACCTGGGCATGAGTCAAAATCAAGCCAACACAAGACCGCAGGTTTGAGTCCTTGGTTCCATCTACTGGGGTCTCAATGTAGGGTTACCCTATTATTCAGCCACAGCCACCGTTTTTGCTTTTTTTTCCTTTCGCCTCCGCAAGGCCAGAGTTGGCCGTCCTGGAAGCCTGGCCCAGCAACAAGCGCGTAGGCCTCTCGGGGCGGGACTTGGGAAGGAGTACGTCGGGTTCTAAAACCCACGGGGGGGTGGGAGGTCTTGCGTTTTCTCTAGGGAGGGGGGGGGGGGGTTCGACTCTTGATGCGATGAGGGAATCTGTATCTCCTGATATGTATCACGGAACCCTGGAGGTAGGCCTGTAGGGCAACATGACATTAGCAACCCTTGGTAGGCGAAGGCCAGGATGCTTTGAGCTTATCCATGGATAGATCCCCTCATAGACCTTCCGGGATCCAGAATTACAAGGTCCTCAACCAACGCCGGCAAAGCAACGAAGCGGTGCCTTGCAGACCTTTCCTGCGGTTCAAGGCTCAGTACAGCCCTTTCACCTGATGACAGCAAGGACACCAAACGAATTGGTTCGATCAACATCGTTCTCCTTGCCTGCTATTTATTCACTGATTGGGTACGCGGCCCCATTTATAGGTAGCACATGTGCTGTAAAGTCATAGATACATACATGTAATCATTAGATATACAGAGGTTATACACATGCATGTTCATTTTCAGATCAGGGGTACCAACCCCAGGGGCACCTGGGCCTCAAGGGTGTGTATCTCAAGCGTCGCAAGATGCGGGTCGTGCTCACATGGCTATGCGTCAAGGGTCCCCTTTTGGGATGAAAGTGAGCCACCATGAACCAGCCCCCAAAGCAGATCCTGCTTTTGACCCTATCGGAGCAGCATGGAACACGGCTGGGAACCCAAGTCAAGCCTTTGGGTGGAGCTTTGCTTTCCGTTTCCTAGTGCTCTACCCATGCCGAGGCAAGTTGGAATGCCATGCGATAGTCCTATCCTAGAGTCCTAGAGTCCTAGAGTCCTGGAGTCCCATATAGGGCCCGAGCATTTTTGCAGCCAATCCAAGCCTCAGGTTCCTCCTTGCGTCCGCCTCTTTCTGTGGCACATGCTTTAGTTATAGCCTTCTCTGCCGACGGGTCCTTGTGGGTAGCCGGTCGGTGGAGCGACCCTGGACTGCAAACAAGCCGTTTTGGGCGGTGGGAAGAAGGCTTTCTTTTGTGCCATGGCACAGCTGCGCAGATTTCACGGCTCGAAGCAGTTGAACAGGACTCAGGTGAAAGAGCTGATCTCACCCTGTTTGAAGGAGTGTAACAACACCCTTTGCCCGGCAAACAGATACTCTGTGTAACAACACCCTTTACCCAGCAAGCAGTTTCTCATCGACCAGAGGAGGTCTTGAAGGAACGGTTCTTGAAGGAACGGTTGCAGGTTTCCAGAAGAAGACCTGCGCAGCTGTTAGGCCTGTTAGGCTTGACCTTTGAGCCAGCGCGACGAAGTTTTGAGGGACTAGGACGGCAATACTCGCCTCCATGGCATGTGTTCAACTCGCGAACTTAAGGGTGGTTGCTCGTTCCCTTCTTCGCCCAGGTTTCTTCAAGTGGCTGTGGGTCAAAACCAAGTACCATTTTGGGGTAGGTGCACCACCCATTTTAGTCTATTTTAGTGGGGATTGGGATGTTGACTGGGGGCATGGGATTTGCCCCATGGCCAAGTAACTAGCAGGTCTCTTGCCTCGGCCATGCGCGCCATGGGCGCATGCAGTGGAGATGGGCGCTTTTCCAGGAATCCTGGGAGAGCCGCCTGGAGGATCGAATTGGGGTTGGAGGTCAAGGGGTTGGGTTACAGGACATTCTACGGGAAAACAGCGCATGTTCTACTGGAAATTCCGCTGGAAAACAGGAAATCCTACTGGAAACAGAGCTTTTGGGGCCATTTCCTGTGGATCTTCCTGTAAGCAACCCCTTCGAAAGCGCTGGTCATGAATGCTGTACTTGCAAATCCACTCCGCACCAGTTGGGATGGATGAGACCCTAGACAAACTGGCATAAACTACCTACCAACTGGCGCACATATATGTTGCCCAGTTGTTCAGCGGCTCCTTTTTTCCCCTTTTGTGCTTAGGCTCCCTTTCCAATAGGAAAATCGTTGAACATTGTCTTCTAAAACGGGTTTGTGCACTTCCGTGTTTCCTGGTAGGAGGGTAGGCAAGTTCCAGCCTGGAGAGTTTCCTTGGTCCTGCACTTGAAAATGGTCAGCTCTAAAAAAGAAATGGTTCCCTTGTCTACCGAGGTCACTGGGCGATGTTTCTGGGAGCCTTGAAAGAGGAGGAGAGGTTTCAACCCGAAGCTACTTGGGATCATTTTGGTTTCCCACTAAAGCCAACGAACATGGGGGCTTGCAAACAAGCGAGGACTGACGAGTAAACTCCGGGGCCACACCGATGGTTAGCTTGTACATCCCCTCGAGACTTGAATGTGGATTCAAGAAGGTAGATGTTTAGTGAGGGCATGTTTGCACTGACCCAAGGTGTAGATAGGCAGCCTATGATAGGCAATGCATATCATTCGTAATTGGCTTGCGAAGGGGCCGCGACCTCACCCCATGAGGAAGGTTTCCTTTTCATAGGTTCCATTTTGCAGGTTGCGGATGATTCGATTTCAACCAGATGTCTCGTTCATCGTACATGTGTTTGTTTCTCCGGGCGTTTGGTTTTCTCTGCAATGGTTTGTTTACCCAGGTGTCAGTTTTGCTTTTCACTCGCGAGGAGTGTCAAGTGTCCGCCAGCCTTCAAGGCGTGTTGCGGGGGTGTTAGAAAGTTACGCACATAAGTCAGGGTCTGGCTATGTGTCAAACATACCGCACTCCGAAGTGGTTGATTTGCGTAGTTCGTTTGCTGCATACCTAATGTGCACTCACTGGGCGGCGAACTTGGAAGAGGCTTCATGGTTTGGAGACTCTGACAGGTTCTGGTAGCTGTGCCCCAAGGGCGGACTTGCAGCTTTTAGAGCCATGGCGGTTTTCTTATGTTTGATTCATAGTCGACTCGTTTGGCGTGGCAGTAATTTTGTTAGTTGTTGTTGTGTTCTTTCCGTGAACACTTGTTAGTTCTGTTAGTTCTGATAGTTCTGATAGTTCTGATTGTTTGTTTGTTTGTTTGTTGTGTTTGTTTGACCAAGTACGCGAACCTTGCACATGCGTCGTTGCTTGGCAGATCTGTGCCCAGTACTGCCAGTACTCATCGGACAACATGACGCAGCCCATTCTTTCCTGGGTTCCTTCAATAGAATTAGAACAAAATATGATTAGAAAGACACTACGCTGCGTTTGGTTGTTTGAGAGGCATGCAACATTGGTTTAGTAACATTTTTATCCTGAAGGCTTGAAACACTGGGTGGGATTAGGAGCTGATGAAAGTAGTCCATGTTTTGGCCGAAGCACAGTTGACGCTATTGACTTGAATCCCCACACGTCAAGCATTCAAAGGGATCCCTTTGAATGCCAGAATGCCACAAGCTGATAGTGCGAACACCACCTCAAGGATTCGTCATCAGAACCTGTCCTCGTCTGATCCACATGGCTATGAATTTCAATCGGGAGCCTTCACAAGTTGTGTGTGGACATGACTTTAATTTCATACCCATATGAGTGTGTCTTTGCTGAGTTGGTAGCCCTTTTTAGGTTGGTTTATAGGGAAGCCAGAACGAAACCATTACGAACATTCACACTCACCCAGCTTTTGCAGGTAGGCAATGGCGCGGAGCACTGCACCGCTTCGAGCACCGATCCAAGGCGCTTCGATCCGGGCGGAATCGTGAGATCGGGAGATCGGGAGATCGGGAGATCGGGAGACCGCGATGCGGATCCGAGAAACTGCCTTGTAAATTCTTGGTGGCTCCCAGCCATCATCTTAGCCTTTTAGCTTTTTAGTGTTTAGTGGGGATTTCCATCTAACCCACTAAAAGTTAAACTTTTAGCGGGGGATTTGAGGACAGCCGAGAATTGACAATGTGCAAAAGAGATTTGGACAAGGGGAGTTAAAACCCCCCCCCCAAAAAAAAAAAAAATCGTGGCTTGTCCTTTCGGCTTCCCTGGAAGCCAGGCTGAAAAGGGTACCTGCTCCATATACGGAACGCCTCGGAGTTTTAACATGGAAGGCCAGGCACCCGGTTTTCCCGGTGATGGGCGGATGGGGTTGGTGCAGACAGGAAAGGAATCCTTGCGCTTAGCCGTGGTTTCGTGCCATGGCTCAGTGATCTCGCGGGGGGAGGTGCCTTTGCTTAGAACAATGAAGCACCCCATATGGGTGCTTCATGTTTTGTTGCTACCATTTTGTGTGTGGGTTTGAAGGGACAGCACAGGAACCCATCATTTTGGGTGTCCCCTAAAAAAAGACACCCGTGGATGTTTCTCAAAATTAGGGACCTCTCCATGTGATTGGTTTTCTTTTGGTTTCCCGTTTGAACCATCCACAGAGAGGACCCTGCGCTTCTGATGTGTGGTTTCATCAGCAATGGTGCCGGTTGACCTGAAGGCCCCTCTTCTGCAGTTTTTTTTTCACGCGGTCGCATTTGTGTCGAATTGCAGTCAGCACCACACCCACTGATCACGTAGCATGATGAGTGAAACCCAGGTGTACGCATTTGTGGCATGCATTTGAACAGGACCTCTAGAAGATGGCTCAGGCTGTGGCTGGTTTGGCTTCGCGGAACACTCTCAAAACATTTACGAGCTGACCAAATTGGGCCCAATGATGCTTGCGCTGCCCCCCCCCCCTAACCTGCCCCAGGCTTGCGCTGAACGCACCAGTTGGGATAGATGAAGCCCCCATAAATATGCGAAACCACCCACAGGTCTGGGAGTTTGTCTATCTCCGAAGGCTTGGCCATGCCGGGGACCCTTCGGATCGCCAGGTGCGGCTGGCAGATTTCAATGGCGCCATCCACGCCTGCGCCAAGGCGCCTTTGGACCGAAGTGACTGATGGATCTGGTCTTTGGAACCTCGAAATCCAGCGGTGCGCGGCTTGTTGACACGGCAATCAGCGTGGGCCCATGACGCAAAAGAAGGCGAAATCCCGGATCAAGCTGGGTTGTTCAAAATATGTGCTTAATCCTCATGCGAGCTGGTAGTGGTTTTCTTTGAGATGCCAACAGTTTGAACGACCCAGTTTGTCAGGATGCGCCATATTTTCTTCATATACAACAGATTAAAGGGCCCGGAGCAACCCTGTGATCACGAGTCGGCTTGACCTGGTCTTGAGCTTCGGCAGGATGAGAACCATTTCACAGACCTGTTCCGAGAGCAAGCCTGAGGAAGAAGAACATTTTACATCTAAGGGGCTGACCGAAGCTGTGGTGGAGAATGCTGGCCTTGATTCTGCTTGAGTAATTCTGGCTTGGCACTTGTGTGGCTCATTGTTTATTGCGCTTGTGCTTGCAAACTGCCTGAGTTGTCTCAGGGTTTATGTGCCATGCGTTTCAGAACTTCAGGATGAGAACCATTTCACAGACCTGTTCCGAGAGCAAGCCTGAGGAAGAAGAACATTTTTCATCTAAGGGGCTGACCGAAGCTGTGTTGGAGAATGCTGGCCTTGATTCTGCTTGAGTATTTCTGGCGTGGCACTTGTGTGGCTCATTGTTGATTGCGCTTGAGCTTGCAAACTGCCTGAGTTGTTCTGTGCCATGCATGTCAGAGCTTTGGCAGGATGAGAACCATTTCACAGACCTGTTCCGAGAGCAAGCCTGAGGAAGAAGAACATTTTACATCTAAGGGGCTGACCGAAGCTGTGTTGGAGAATGTTGGCCTTGATTCTGCTTGAGTAATTCTGGCTTGGCACTTGTGTGGCTCATTGTTGATTGCGCTTGTGCTTGCACACTGCCTGCGTTGTCTCAGGGTTTCTGTGCCATGCGCTCCAGAACTTCGGCAGGATGAGAACCATTTCACAGACCTGTTCCGAGAGGAAGCATGGGGAAGAAGAACATTTTACATCTAAGGGGCTGACCGAAGCTGTGGTGGATTGCTTGAGTATGTCTAGATTGTGATGGAGAATGCTGGCCTTGATTCTGATAGAGCAATTCTGCTTGGCACTTGTGTGGCTCATTGTTGATTGCGCTTGAGCTTGCAAACTGCCTGAGTTGTCTCAGGGTTTATGTGCCATGCATGTCAGAGCTTCGGCAGGATGAGAACCATTTCACAGACCTGTTCCGAGAGCAAGCCTGAGGAAGAAGAACATTTTACATCTAAGGGTCTGACCGAAGCTGTGTTGGAGAATGCTGGCCTTGATTCTGATAGAGTAATTCTGGCTTGGCACTTGTGTGGCTCATTGTTTATTGCGCTTGTGCTTGCAAACTGCCTGCGTTGTCTCAGGGTTTATGTGCCATGCGTTTCAGAACTTCGGCAGGATGAGAACCATTTCACAGACCTGTTCCGAGAGGAAGCCTGAGGAAGAAGAACATTTTACATCTAAGGGGCTGACTGAAGCTGTGTTGGAGACTGCTGGCCTTGATTCTGCTTGAGTAGTTCTGGCTTGGCACTTGTGTGGCTCATTGATGATTGCACTTGCGCTTGCAAACTGCCTGAGTTGTTATGTGCCATGCATGTCAGAGCTTTGGCAGGATGAGAACCATTTCACAGACCTGTTCCGAGAGCAAGCCTGAGGAAGAAGAACATTTTACATCTAAGGGGCTGACCGAAGCTGTGTTGGAGAATGTTGGCCTTGATTCTGATAGAGTAATTCTGGCTTGGCACTTGTGTGGCTCATTGTTGATTGCGCTTGCGCTGGCAAACTGCCTGAGTTGTCTCAGGGTGTATGTGCCATGCGTTTCAGAACTTCGGCAGGATGAGAGCCATTTCACAGACCTGTTCCGAGAGCAAGCCTGAGGAAGAAGAACATTTTACATCTAAGGGGCTGACCGAAGCTGTGTTGGAGAATGTTGGCCTTGATTCCGATAGAGTAATTCTGGCTTGGCACTTGTGTGGCTCATTGATGATTGCGCTTGTGCTTGCACACTGTTTGATGCCATGCGTTTCAGAACTTCGGCAGGATGAGAACCATTTCACAGACCTGTTCCGAGAGGAAGCCTGAGGAAGAAGAACATTTTACATCTAAGGGGCTGACCGAAGCTGTGATGGAGAATGCTGGCCTTGACTCTGATAGAGCAATTCTGGCTTGGCACTTGTGTGGCTCATTGATGGTTGCGCTTGCGCTTGCAAGCTTCCTGAGTTGTCTCAGGGATTATGTGCCATGCGTTTCAGAACTTCGGCAGGATGAGAACCATTTCACAGACCTGTTCCGAGAGGAAGCCTGAGGAAGAAGAACATTTTACATCTAAGGGGCTGACTGAAGCTGTGTTGGAGAATGCTGGCCTTGATTCTGCTTGAGTAATTCTGGCTTGGCACTTGTGTGGCTCATTGATGATTGCACTTGCGCTTGCACACTGCCTGAGTTGTCTCAGGCCTTATGTGCCATGCGCTTCCTTCGGCAGGATGAGAACCATTTCACTTTTAGGCACATATGTCACATCAAGTCCATCCTTTTGTTTGTCAAGAGGTCTCTCAGGTGAGCAACTGTCGTCAACACAGAAGCAAGCATTCACCTCGTTGGCCGAAAGCCCAAAGCACCAGCCGGGAGGCTGAATCACCGCGTGCCCCTCTTTGTGCTGTTAAGTGCCAAAAGAACTCTACATATTTACATATTAGTGATACTTCTGAGAAGCGCTTCAAGCAACACTTGTATAGACACACACACACATACACACACGTGCGATCGACGCTTTGAGCGACAGTCCTGAACGACAACTCATTTCTACACACTTATCTGCGAGACATGTTTCGGCGACGCTTGTGTTCTGATGCGGATGTCCAGTCCGCGCTTGTCGCTGCTTCTGAGCGACACTGAGCAACACTTGTGAGAGGAAGTCTGAGGAAGAAGAACATTTTACATCTAAGGGGCTGACCGAAGCTGTGATGGAGAATGCAGGCCTTGATTCTGCTTGAGTAATTCTGGCTTGGCACTTGTGTGGCTCATTGATTGTTGCGCTTGCGCTTGCAAACTCCCTGAGTTGTCTCAGGGTTTATGTGCCATGCATGTCAGAGCTTCGGCAGGATGAGAACCATTTCACAGACCTGTTCCGAGAGCAAGCCTGAGGAAGAAGAACATTTTACATCTAAGGGTCTGACCGAAGCTGTGTTGGAGAATGCTGGCCTTGATTCTGATAGAGTAATTCTGGCTTGGCACTTGTGTGGCTCATTGTTTATTGCGCTTGTGCTTGCAAACTGCCTGCGTTGTCTCAGGGTTTATGTGCCATGCGTTTCAGAACTTCGGCAGGATGAGAACCATTTCACAGACCTGTTCCGAGAGGAAGCCTGAGGAAGAAGAACATTTTACATCTAAGGGTCTGACCGAAGCTGTGTTGGAGACTGCTGGCCTTGATTCTGATAGAGTAATTCTGGCTTGGCACTTGTGTGGCTCATTGATGATTGCACTTGCGCTTGCACATTGCCTGAGTTGTCTCAGGCCTTATGTGCCATGCGTTTCAGAACTTCGGCAGGATGAGAACCATTTCACAGACCTGTTCCGAGAGCAAGCCTGAGGAAGAAGAACATTTTACATCTAAGGGGCTGACCGAAGCTGTGGTGGAGAATGCTGGCCTTGATTCTGATAGAGCAATTCTGGCTTGGCACTTGTGTGGCTCATTGATGATTGCGCTTGCGCTTGCACACTGCCTGAGTTGTCTCAGGGTTTATGTGCCATGCGTTTCAGAACTTCGGCAGGATGAGAACCATTTCACAGACCTGTTCCGAGAGGAAGCCTGAGGAAGAAGAACATTTTACATCTAAGGGGCTGACTGAAGCTGTGTTGGAGAATGCTGGCCTTGATTCTGCTTGAGTAATTCTGGCTTGGCACTTGTGTGGCTCATTGATGATTGCACTTGCGCTTGCACACTGCCTGAGTTGTCTCAGGCCTTATGTGCCATGCGTTTCAGAACTTCGGCAGGATGAGAACCATTTCACAGACCTGTTCCGAGAGGAAGCCTGAGGAAGAAGAACATTTTACATCTAAGGGGCTGACCGAAGCTGTGATGGAGAATGCTGGCCTTGATTCTGATAGAGCAATTCTGGCTTGGCACTTGTGTGGCTCATTGGTTGTTGCGCTTGCGCTTGCAAACCCCCTGAGTTGTCTCAGGGTTTATGTGCCATGCATGTCAGAGCTTCGGCAGGATGAGAACCATTTCACAGACCTGTTCCGAGAGCAAGCCTGAGGAAGAAGAACATTTTACATCTAAGGGTCTGACCGAAGCTGTGTTGAAGAATGCTGGCCTTGACCCAGATTAAGTAATTCTGGCTTGGAACTTGTGTGGCGATTTTCATGATTGCGCCTGCGCTTGCACACTGCCTGAGTTGTCTCAGGCCTTATGTGCCATGCGTTTCAGAACTTCGGCAGGATGAGAACCATTTCACAGACCTGTTCCGAGAGGAAGCCTGAGGAAGAAGAACATTTTACATCTAAGGGGCTGACCGAAGCTGCTGGCCTTGAAATTAGTTCGTCATGGATTGATTTCTGTTTTTTGCGCATGTGCGTGGAAAGGGCGTTTGCAATGTGAGGTTGGGCAAGAACGTTTAAGAGCGCTAAAAGTTCCGGATGTACTTGGACTGTGTTTGATATATACATATATATATATATATATTTGTTTCTCATGTAAGCTGCGTGCTTTTCCAGGAAGCTGATTCCCAAGCTTCGGTGGCATCTGAGCCTTCTGATTACCCACCTATTCTGAGCGCCAGGCGGATCGTTTGGAACGCCTTAGATGTGTTGAACGCGGCCAGTTACTGCCATGCAATGAGCTGCCTCGTTCTTCGAGCACTGTCCATCTTGCACTTGCTATGAGGGAGATGCCGATTCCATGTTCCGCGAACTGCACTAGCTCTTCAAGTTTGTATTGAGAAGTTTTGTCCAATCGCAATATTGTCCTGAGTTCATCAATCATCATCCGGGTCCTATTTGAAGATGACTTATCACTTGCGTGTGGGATGGCGTTACGGATAGATAGGCATCAACTCTTGACCTTTCTTTTTGTGTTGGGCGATTGTCCTACGCTTCCTGCCGTCCTTTGTGTCTCGTTTGGACGGTGCTTTGGGGGTTTAGCTGAATGGTATTATACCAGACACTTGTCCAAGCCATCACCTAAGGACAATCGCATTCACCCCACATCCATCTCAGCATCCGATAAGTTGCCATTCCAGTTTTGCCACGAATACCTCAAACAGGTTCCCAGCTTGGCACAAGCAATCCTGCAACAGACGCAGGCTGAAGACTGAGAATGCAAAGTCCTAGTTTGTCGTTGACTTGTTGGCTTCTGCTTCTTTGCCTGTCAAATTGGGCAGAGTTACTAGCAGTCGTCCGAACCTTTGGGAGCCAAAGGCCAGTCCAGAAACAGGGGAACACCTCGGATTGAGTTGTGCAGGTTCACTTGAATCGCTTTGGCCCAGCCGACCCCTGCAGGGCAGCCAATGGCGACATACTTTGCTGCAGCGCGTGCGATGCTGCAGCCTCGTACCGGATGTGATCAGCGCCTTGGCACTCGGTTGATGCGCAAGCCATTTATGTCACACTTGCAGAGAGAGAGAGAGAGAGAGAGAGAGAGAGAGGGAGAGAGGGAAAGAGAGGGGGAGAGAGGGAAAGAGAGGGGGAGAGAGAGTACCGAGCACCCTCCCAAACTCTGACGTGGAAGCCAACTGGATCCTCCTAGAAGACATGTTTCCTCAATAAGTTCTATCATGTGGGGTTGTCAAACATCTGGCCCTTGGACCCTGGTGCCGCCTTTTTAGCCGCCTTTTAGAGGGAGTACCACACAATGTCCCTACCTTTGCCAACCAACCCACCAAACAACCGAGCAAGCAAGCGAGCGAGCGAGCGAGCGACCGACCGACCAACCCACCCACCCTCCCACCGACCAACCCACCCACCAAGCGCTCGCCCTTCGATCGCCCTTCGAATGTTCCCGAAGGCTTCAGCAGCTCCATCAGCGCCTTCGCGGCTTCGAGCCGCTGGCTCCAGGCGCTGCAGCTCTTGGCCTCCACGTGCCGGCCGACGCTTCGCCCTGCGGAAGGGGTTGGTCGGTTGAGGAACCTGCCGTTTGAAGGGAATCCAAGGGAAATCCGAAGGGATATGGTTTTGAGGGTAAGGGGAAATCCACCAAAGCAGCCGGGAAATGTGCAACAACAAGAGTCCGGGCAATACAAGGATTCTTGTTTGTGCCGGAAATAGACTTGAAACCCAGGAACACCGGTTAGAGGAAGCTCCTCTTGGGAATTGGATATATTTTTTTGGGCTCCATGTTAATTTGCAGGGGAGTAAGGGAAACCAAAGGGAAACCAAAGGGAACCCAAAGGGAAACCAGAGGGAAACCAGAGGGAAACCACAGGCAAACCAGAGGGAAGCCAGATAAACAGGTAAATAGGAATCCCCTGAAATGGTTGGTTGGCTTCATTGTGTTTTTTCCGTTTAGACACTAGACACCTACCAATAGGGGGTCAAGCATTTTGAGAAACTGCCACCAATTGCCTATGACTTTCAACAAGAAACCACCAATCAACAGTGGTCGGACATGCATCCCCACCTGAATGTCCACCAAGGTGTCGATTCGGATTCAATGATTACCCTCCTCTTTCCAATGGAAATGCACAGGTGGCCACTTGTCCACTTTCATGAGTAATGGAGGAAGTACAGCTAGGCATATCTTCAGAACCAGCACCTGGTACTAAGGGGATAAACTGTGCGGCACCTATCTTTTTTGGGACTGCCCTCGCTAATCTATATCTACCCGGGTCTTGATTGCTGCTCATTCGGGTATGTGTCAGAATACTCCTCTTGGTGTCCGTTTCAACACTACACAAAAAGGGTACCGTCAAAAAGGGCCCTTGCAAGGAACGTCTTCAGCTTCAGCAGCTTCATCAGCGCTTGCGAGAAGACCGCGGTGTGGAGAACGGCCCTGGCGGTCTTGAGGGGAATGCCGGACGGGGCAACATGGCAGAGTTCAGACGTGACTGTGCGGCCAACACCCCTTCTGTTGGTGTTGATTGGAAGAGACATTTGTTTCTGAGCAGAATGCCAAACCCCCATTGGCCATAGTGCAGTAGGTGGTTCTGCTGCCTGGTTTCGTGGGGCTTATAGTAAAGTAAAGCCCGACAATATATATTTATCGCCAAGTTGCAAAGAAAAAACACGTAGAATGGCCATGACTCTGAAAGAGGAACCGCCTACAAACTGGTTGCTGGACATGACTGGCAGCAGTTTGAATATCAAAATGGGGAGGAACCGCAAAAAATGCTATTCCTTTTATCCCAAAAAAGCAACCAACATAGGGGTTCCCTGCAGAAAGGACACACCCCACGTGGGCGCTCCAAACCAAAAACCGCCCGTTCGTTGAGGCCGTGGTGCCCAACGTGGTGAGCCGCTCCAGCGCTGTCAGCGCCATCGCCTCTTCGACTTCGAGTCGCTGGGCGGCGGCTCTGGGGCTGACAGCGGAAGCGAAGGCTCCGAACGTCTTCACCTTCAGCGGCGCGGTGAGCGCATGCGAGCCTTGGACAAGGCGTGTCTTTCAATACTTTCTTCACGTTCTGGTCACGTCCGAGGTTCATGCAGGTTCAATTCTGATGTACTTCACCTTTTTTTTTGGGGGGGGAACTCCCATCCACATCCAGAAAGGGTTCCCTGAAATCAGGTCACTGACAGTGGCCCCTTGTGCCCCTTGTTGGGGCCAAGCCTCAGGTTTCAAATGTGTTCCCTACTTGCATGTACATCCCTGCAGCCGAGACATGGAACCCAACAAGGGAATTCCACAAAGGCCGATTTCTCTCAAACGATGTGTTTTTGATGGTTCCATCTAAATCAGCAGGGGAATAGTTTGGATTGGTGGTTTGGCGATTGGAATCCCCTTTCCTTTTGAAGCCAAAATGAGGAAGGTGCCGCGATTCCAAGCAATACGGCCACTCCAGAACACCAATCCAAGCAATCCACTCCAAAGTGACGGAAGTATGTTTGGAATGCTTAGGACATCACCCCCCCATGGCCCCATGGTTTCAAGGAGAAGGGCGAGTGGCTGGTGGCGCTCTTGCTGCTGGAGACCATGAAAGCGGCCAGGGTCGTGCCCAACATGGTGAGCGCCTGGGACGGAGTCGTAAGATGAGCCGACACCGTTTGGCTTTTGGAGGGCCCGGGAAAAAGGGGGTTTTCCCGTCGGCTTCCCTTTAAAACAGCCTGAAAGGGACCCTTTTCCCATGGAAACAAGTTATTTTTTCCGGACCTCATTTGAGGAGTGTGCAAACATTAAACGGATTGTTTGGTTTCCGCTGGATTGGGATTGTGTCCAGTCCCTGGACAGCGAGCGAGCGAGCAAGCAAGCAAGCAAGCAAGCAAGCACTCACGCACGCACGCACGCACGCACGCACGCAAGCAAGCAAGCAAGCAAGCAAGCAAGCAAGCAAGCAAGCAAGCAAGCAAGCAACCGTGAACCCATCCTCAACGCTACCCTAAACCTACCCTAAGCACAATTTTAAACCTACCTTGATTGCACCTTGAACCCCATAAACCCGAAACCCAACCTAACCCCAATCTAAGCACCTTCAACCGCATCCAACGTTACCAACCCAAACTCCATCTGAACAAACCTAACCCAACCCTAAACTACCACAACCCACCCTGAGCCAGCCTTGACCACGCCCTAAACCCACCCTAAACCACCGCTAGGCCCAACACTAAAGCCCCGTAAGCCCACGACCCTGAAGCCCACCCTTGCCCACCCTAAACCCTAAAGCAACGCAGTTCTTCAGCTCAGGCGCTTCATCACATCACCCGACGCTTTGCTGTAATTGTTCTAGGAACTGGGGCGCTTGCCCAATGTTTGGTCGGCTGAGGACTTATCCCTGTGGGCTCTACCCTATGCCAACCCCAAACCTACCCTAAACCTTCTGAAGCACACCCCACCCACCCAAACTCCCATCTGAACCCACCCTAAACCACCTTAAGCCAACCCTGAACCCTCCCTAACCCACAGAGCTGAGCCACACCCTAAACTCACATGCGCGCCCTAAGCCCACCACTCCAAGCCACCCTAAGCCAACCCAAAACACACCTCAACCCACTTTAAACCCACCCCTAGCCACAAATAAGCCCACCCCTACCCGAAACGCACCCTAAGCACCCCAAGCCCTAAGACCCTAAGCGCGCCCTAAGCCCACCTCACCGCTCCAAAATGGACCTGACAAAATACCGACAGACGTCGGACAGAAATCTCGAAAAGACACGGTTTTGGAGGATGCGGGGCGTTGAAGAAAAAGGGAAGATACTCGTTTTGAAGGGAATCTTGTCAGCAAGCGACGGCCAGGCTTCAACGCCGCCATCAGCGCCAGCGAAAAGGCCCTGCAGTGGCCCTGTGCCCTCGCGCTGCTTTCTTCTGCGTTCGAGCCAAACGTCATCAGCGCCTTGGATGCCTCAGGTCTCTGAGAAACCCCTGCAAAAAAGAAATGCTCTAAAAGAGGAAGGTTGCAAAATAGACCCTGCATCGAATCCCCCGAAGGGTGATGTGTTGAATTGGGAACTCCCGGCAAAGTGGTGGTGGACCTAAATGTTGTCCACCGAAGGGTGTTTAATTAAAATTAACCATGTTGGACGCCCCCAAGGTAGATTTTCCCTGAAGCAACTCTTGTCTTGAGAACTACTGTCCGCAAAAAAAGTGAGTGGATCTTTGTCAGAAATCCATGCATTTAGTTCAGTGGCACCCGCTTTCTCGGCATGAAGTTGGTCAACCCCTGGATGTCACCGGGTGCAACTGGGAAAAATGAGCCCGCCATCACTACGATTCCTCGATCTCACCCAATTGTTGAGTGGCGGGCAGGTTTTCCTCATTTCCGATTTCTTCTGTTGCAACCGGTTTGGGTCCAACAAGTAAATCCCCGTGCTTGAGTCCATGGAATCCCAAACAAGAACCACCAACCGTTGGGTTGAGATGGAGTTCCCTGGGTTTGGGCGCTGAGGCTACAGCAGCGCCATCAGCGCAGTGAGCTGGTCCCCAGCCCTTGCGCTGCTGGATGAGCTGGCGATGAGTGGCTCAGTGCCCAACGTCCCTCGGCCCCGGCGCAGTCTTTTTGCATTGGGCGATGTGTCGGTCGGCCGGTTGGAAGGGATCCTTTTCTACTGATGGGCAGAATCCTGCAGCAGTTGGTAGGTGGTTTCATCCGTCCTGTGCGAAGTGGACTTGGTCCATCCACAGTATGCTCCTCAACAAGACGTATTCCCATCCACAGTATCCTCAAAGTTTCCTTTTGCCTTTGAAACCGATCCAAGGGTCCCATGCATCCCCCTTTGAGACACATCGGACAGGTCATCAGCCTGAGTGCCGCCATTGGCGACCACTGGAACTCCGCGCTGGAGCTCTTGAGACGCTGCGGGCAGGAGGCCAGCCTCACCAGCTTCAACGCAGCCCTCAGTGCCTCCTGGCAACGATCCAGGCGGATGGGGAAGTCCAAAACGATGGCCCAGTTCAACAGCATCTTTCTGTGCTGTCCCGCAAGTTTCTCTTTTTTGGGGCGTGCCAATGGCAGCAACCACCAGTCAACAAAGGAAAGCTTCGGGGGACAGAAAGCGGCGCGCGCGGGGACTGGGGAAGGCCGGGACCAGGGACGATTCTGTGGTCCGAATGTCCAGGGAAGATGCGGGCTGACCCAGCAAGGAAGCAAGGGACTCCACGGTTTAGCATCCAAAGCGATACCGAAATCCATTTTGGGGGGTCCTCGACAAAAGCCACACCCATATTTCAACCCGTGCCCATGTGTGCTATGCATGGACACGGTGGACTTTGTCACTTTGGATTTGACCAAGGGTGCTGTGTGACAAACATGGCTTCAGGCGACTCTTAGAAGCCTGTTGATGCCGGCAGTGAGAAACTCTTCCAGATCACCCGTTGATGGACAAGGCATTGATATTTTCTTGCATTTGCAGGCTTGTCGCACTGGCTGCAATTAGCTTGAGGGGTGCTTCCAATTGGCGGGAGGGGTGCTTGAATTCCCCCATTCCCCCATTCCCCAATTCCCCCATTCCCCATTCCCCCATTTCCCCATTCCCCCCATTCCCCCCCATTCCCCCCATTCCCCCCATTCCTCTTGGCCATTTCAGTTGGTTCTACTATCGGCTTTAATCGGGACAATCAGGCCTAAGCCTTCAACAACCATGATGGTAGAGCCAAGCATCAATGGGTGTTGGGTGTTGCTCATGCCAGGCTCCCCACAATTGGTCGCAAGGATTGGTCTGGATTTGGATTTGAACTAGCTCCTCTTGTGGGTAAATGGCAACCTGAAGCCCAAGCTCAATCTCCAAATCTTTGGGTTGAAGCCCTGTCTCTTATCTCCAAGTCGGGCAATTCCCAAATTGCTCCAACCTAAGCTGCTGGGAGTGGAAGCGATCGATTCCAAGGCTTGCAGCGGCCTCTGGAAAGTCGTGGTGCAGCTCTGGCAGCTGATGAGCAAGCAGCAGGCCCTCGATGGAGTGGGATGGAGTGGGCGAGCGGGGGTGGGGGCAGCGGGGTTGACCTTTGGAAGCTTAAAACTTGTGTGGCGAATGTGTGCTCGAAGGCAGCAATCAACTGTTGGAGTGACTGTTTTGGGCCATTCCGCTTCGGAAGTCTTTGGGTTGGGAGCGGCCACTTGAGCCCACTTGAGGTTGTTGTGCCCTGTCCATTCCATTGTACAGAGGTTACCAAGCCCGGAAACAAATCGCACCCGCGGGTGTCACTCCAATTTGTGAACCCAACCTCATCCTACCCGAACCAATCCCAGCAAGGAGCCGGTGCTTGGGGAGGACAAATGGCCCGAAGGGGGACGTCTCTCAAAGGCCCCAGGCCGACCCCGACGCCACGCCAGGTCCACCCCGACGCCATCTCTTTCCGCGTGGCCGCCGCCAGCTGCGAGCTCTCCGGGTCCGCCGCGCTGGGCCCCGCGGGCCCCGCGGGCCCGCGGCCCCGCGGCCTCGGCCCGCGCGACCGCGGGGCAAAAGGGTGCGCGCTTGCTAGACTTGTCTGAGATTTTGTTCTTGAGAGTGTGTGATTTTTGGTTGCTCGCATTCAAAGAGAGAGAGAGAGAGTATTTGGTTGCTCGCATTCAAGCACAACTAAATACTGGCTACTGCCGATTGGCAGGCTTCGTTATACAAACACTTGGCCTTCAACCACTGTTTTCTGTAGGCTTGCGCCATATAGCGGAGCATCCCTCTTCCCCGCGTGTGGCCAAGCTCTGCGTAGGCCCTGGAGAGGAGGGCGAGGTGTGCGTGAAGGGGGCCTGCGTCCGGAGCCCAGATCACTGACTTGCCAGACGAGCCCTCAGGTTTTGGGGGTGTTTCCCAAGGGTCCCAGTCATTTTGTTTTTGGAGGCGTCCTTATGTTTCCCTTAAATTCAGACCAGGCGCCATCGATTTTGCGAATTCTATGGAACAGCATGGCATGGTGATTCTTCCAGCAGAACGCTAGTAACCTATCTTCTAGTTCAGGTGAATTGGATTCCGTTTGATTAGGACGACCGCTCGGGGACCAGGTCACATAGAGTCACTCAAGCAAAACAGATTGCGAGCCTGTGACTCCGAGGTCATGAAAGGCTATGAGATGCGACCGCACATGGACAAGGCTGGTTGAATCGGCTAGGTTCGGTCAAAAGATACAACTGTCCTTGTTCCATTTCGGAGCAACATGGGGCACTCGCGAAGTTGTGGTGAAGTCGGTTGTCGCTTTGGCATGTGTAAGAAGGACCTTGTGACAAACACCCCTCCCCCGTTTTGTTGCCAGCAGAAATCAAGTTCCACCATCTAATCGCATCATTTTGCCTAGACTTCGCTTCCGCAGCCACAACATGTTTTGCGCTTGTTGCGGCGCGTGTCTTGGGGGGTTTGCCGCTTGCCCACGGACTCGCCAGCTCGCCAGGACCCGAATGAGGAAGCGTTTACGGACGGCTTCATGAGGAGCCCGGGGCCCCCGAATCCAAGCGACTTACGGAGGATCACCCCGGGGGCGGGGGGCGGGAGTTGTGTGACATGTGCACGGGTGGCAAAAGGAATCGGTAAGCCGAGCGATGTAGGAGGGTTTGAGTTTTTTGGTTTGACACCTCAGACGGCCAAATGAACCACAATCAAAGCCCAGGTAGCACCATAATTGGGTGCAGCCGCCTTGTTGATTCTTTATATGGTTCTGGGTGCACCATTCTTGTACCAGGTTTTGATCCAAGTTGACACCCTCCCATCCGCTATCATGGAACCTGGTGGGTTCCATGTGGACTGAAGGGTACTTGTTGATCCACAGGATGCACCACCCAAGAATCCCTGGAAAAATGATTCCCCTGTTATTACCAACCAGCACTGGTTTCCCACGATTTCAAGGTGGTGCAGGATTTCGTCCATCCACAGTAGGATGCCCATCCATGTTTTCCTCTTGGCAGAGCTCAGGTGGAGACAAGGGCTGGGTGGACGAAGATGGCTACCTCTACCTCATCGGTGCGGTCTTTCTCCTTGGGGGAGGGGACGGGGACTCACTCTTTTAGGGCAGAAGCTCTCATTCCTTGTTCTCCTTATACCAATGTCTAGAGGTTTCGTAGTTGTTTCCCTTAGATTCCCAATCCAGATCAACACAAGCTGGGTTCAAAACCAGTCCTTGGTTCTGCCAGGTAGAGGCTTCGTAGTTGTTTCCACTTTGTTGTAGAAACAGGGGAACAATTTTGGGGTACCAAAAAAGGGAGGCACATCCTCAGCAGACACCTGCAGCCCAAAGCCGTAAACAAGCCTACCGGCTGCCAGTCACGCGGCAAAAGCAGCTGCGTTTGGTCACCAACCCTTCTGGAGTGAAAACATCTGCAATCCGACGATGACTCTTGAGGCTGTTTCACTTCAAAACTCGGTCTGCAGTTGAGTTCCTGTTTCAACCAGGTGCTTGCCACTTCGGTCGCCGTGTTGCCGTGCAAGCCAATGAAACACCCAGTTGCATAGTTCTAAGGCGTGACTCTCTAGTCCGGCCGCCGCAGACTCCCAGATTGTCCCAGGACAAGTCGGGTGCTGTTTCTCAGAAGGGGCGTTATCTTTGATTCAGACGGGCTACGTCACAGCTTGAACGTAATTTGGCCATGTTCAACCAGTCTACCGGCAATTTGGATGGATTTGTCTTTGATGATGTGATCAGTCGTTGCATTTCGGGTGACATGAATTTGGCAGCTGTGTGTTGGGCTTCATGCGCGCCAGGGCGCTTCAAAGAGCTCATCAACAGGGCCGGAGAGAAGGCAGCTGCGGGCAGAGTAAAGTGAAGCCAGGGACAAGCAAGCCCAACGCCGTGTTTGCCGCGGCTGTCTTCTCAAGACTACATGTTTGCCTTTGGGACAACTTCCGGGTAGTTTTTTCGCCTTTTTTTCCGCGGGTTTGCCAGACTTGTTGGCAAACAGCCCTCAATGCCGAGTCCCTGCCAAACAAAGGCCCAAGCAAACCCCCCCGCCCCCCGAATCCGGTGAAGGGGTGAGGTGTCTTTTTTTTTGTCCCCAGGAAAAAAAAACAGTTTCGCAGTGCGCAATGCGTGATGCGCCGGTTTCAGGTGGGTGTTTTATGCGTTCTGTCGAGTTTAAGCAGCATGCTCCGTTCGTTTCGCGCACTTTTCGGCTTTCGCCGTGCATTTCTTGCGTGCTTTGTTCAACAAGTCAAAGCGACATTAAATTTATGCCACACACACACACATCTAGTAAGAGGTAGTGCCATATTGTTTCGCCAAGATATGTTTTCGTATGCTAGCAGAGTGTTGGAGTTCTTTATTTGCCCTGCGCCAGAGACAGGTGTATTGTGTGTTGGTGTGTGGTGTGTGTGTGTGTGTGCCTGGACAGAGTGCTCTTTGAGTAGCTCGCTTGTCAATGCTCACAACAGCAAACAATGTGTTTTCCAACAAGGGGGGGCCGAAACATGTTTCATTTCCTTTGCTTTTCCTGTCAACATCCCAAAAAGCAAGTCCCAATTGAGAACAGACCTCCAAGTTTTACGTAAACATGAGCAACTGGCGTCGAACGTAGTGTCATGGCCAAGAGCTTGTAGAGCCGGTGATGGCTTGCCTACCTTGCAATCAGGCCAGTGGATTTTGAACCCCTGGCTGTCTTAAAATTCTCCATGGAAAACCTCCGAACCTACCCACCAACTCAGACCACTGAAGGACGAGCTGATACGGTCTACCGCTTCATGGGCAGAGCTGAAGTTCCAGCAATGCTCCTGGAAAGCCACCTCTGATTCTGGTCTTCCATCTGCTTAGCTTTTTCTTTTCCTCTTCCCGGTTTTTTCTTTTTTCTTCTTCCCCTCCCTTGTTGGTTTTGAGGCGCCTTTCTGGCCAGAATAAGCAAATCTATCACAACTGGAAATATGTTTATTTTATTTTATTTTTATTTTTTTCCGGGGGCTAAAGCAAATGGGTGTTGTGATAGCCTGATGGCGCAAGCAGTCGCGTGCTCGACTAAAGCGAGGTGCCTCCAAAGAAGATACGCACCTTTTTTTGTTTTTGCTTCGCTGTGAATCCCTCATTTGCCGCGAAGCAATACATGTAAAAAAGGCAACTTGCCCCGGGGCTAGCTGTCTTGCTATCCAAGCAGTCCTTGCCGCTGAGCTTAGACAGAACCCTGGCATGTCAAGACATGACTATGTGACTATGCCCATGTGATATGGGCTGGATTGTGGTTCAAGGGAATCTATCAGGGGAACCACGAGATCAGCCAGCAGGAGGGGTCCCTCGTTTTGACAGTCACTTACATCATTATTTGAACACATATTCCAGCAGTATATATATATATAATTATATACTCCTCTACACATACATGTGTATGTATATCTCGATGGCACGCATTATTGTAGCTACATTCTTGATAGGGCGCTGGGCAGTGCTACTCCTCTGAAACCAGAGGCGGCTCGAGGAGCAGCTTTTTTGCCGTCTCGAATTGAAGGAAGGACAGAGGTTCCGCCAAAACCAAACGCGTCGTTGTGCACATTTTTTTCTCAACGTGCCTCACGGAAGGGGCAAAGTGCTGTCTCAGCTGATCTGTTCAGCTTTTGCGTACTGTGATGAATTCGGCGCCCAATTTGGCAGAATGCAGCCCCCTTTCCTCGGCACCCCTCCAATCACAGAGTGAGACTCATCAAGTTGATGAGGGTCACACCCAGACTTTGGTCCAACTCCCTGGTTCCGCTTGTCGCGCCTCGCTTTGCACCTCGTCGGCGCGCACCAGATCTCCCCGTTCGAGGTGGAAGACGCGCCGGGCTCCCATCGGTGCCACAAACCGCTGGCCCTATCGCTGAGATGCATTGGACCCCGAAGAGTCGTACCCATTTTGCGGCAGACCTCGCAGACTCAAGCCTGTTTTGGTTCCAGAGCTGAACGCAGACACTGGGAGATACTGTGGATGGTTGCGAAATCCACTTCGCACCACTTTGAAACCATGGGAAGCCATAGTTCGTCGGTATTTACAGGGGGATCGAAATCAGTCCAGGGTTTCTTAGGTGGTCCATCCACAGTATGCCAAGGACTTCAGGCCGAAGAACAAGAACAGCTTCCTTTGGAGGATCGTAGGTTTCGTAGCCGAGGGTGCGGCGCCACAGCGATGTCGGGGACGTTCTGTGCTTCTCCTGTCCGGGGCCAAGAAGCAGCCCAGGCCTTCGGTGGCACCCATTCTCTGACGGATTTTTGGGGATGCTTAATTAGTTTTATCAACTACACACACAAGGCCTGGCCAGGTGTTTTCCAATGCTTGGAGGTCTATTGAAAGCTCTTGGCCTTGACATTTGGCCATTTGGCCGCGAAAAGACCAACACCGGAGCCAGTTTGGTTGGTTCTCCACGACATAGAGGCGCTTGCTAGTTGCTTCTGCTCTGCCACTATGTTGGGCGAGAATGACAAGCCCGGATTGTGATTGAGCCACCAAGATCAGGCCGGCAAACAGTCAAATTGCAAACTATGGCTGGTCATGCGAATTTGTTTCGGAGGCTCTGGCCGACGCTGCGACTATGCCACAATACGCAACGCCAGGTCAAGAGAACGAGCCAACCATCCCGGTTGGTTGGGGATGACCCAAGTACTTGGTGGGTAAATCTTAAGGGAAGTTTGCAATCGAAGCCACCCCATTGCCCAGATCCACATCAGATTCGTTTCGGAAGGTATGGGGTAAATTTGGACTAGCATGTACTGAGTCTGAGATTTGTATTCGAGCAGGGAATGGGTTCGCTTAGTGCTAAACGACCTTGCTGAACACCATACTTAGTCAGCTGAACACGCTGAGGATGCTTCAATTGATTGCAGATTGAATCGAGTCCATGAAACATCCCAGCTCCAGAACGTCCTGCATCCCAAACACTTGGATAGATATTGTACATCTTTGCTGATGCGCCTTTGACACATACGTATCTATCTATCTATTTATCTATCTATCTGATCTGATCTGATCTGATCTGATCTGATCTGATCTAATCTACTCTATCTATGTATCTATCTATATCTATACATATACGTACAGCGGTCCGGGTGTGTCTGTGTGTGTGGATCCTGTCGGTTCCATGGGCAGATGCGCTGTGAGGCCCGCACTCCATGCTGGGAGAGTCCGTCGGTGGGCTTCCCAGAAGGGCCCTTTGAAGGGAGAACCGTTCGGAGGGGTGGCTCAACTCTACTGCTGGATGTGGGGTACATGCTGGAGGTCCGTGTGGCATGAGTGTTTCAGCTCGCACGAGCAATGTGTCTTCCCATGTTTTGAGTTGGTCAAGTCGGGCTCCAGAAGAATTGGGATGTGTAGGAATCCAAGAGTTGGAATTAATTTAAGATTGAGTTGGGGATGGTCACACATTCATTTTAGGGGCATTTTATGTAGCTTAGGGTTTTGTTTAGCTTTCTTGAGAAGCAATTTGCCGATGGTGTGTGAACATGAAGGACCCTCCCCAAGACCCCTCAAGCAAGAAACGGGAAACCCACTCAACTTGCGGCCGCAAGAGACCAGGAAACAAATGGCACAGAACACAGGAAACATATGCGCAAAAAACCCTTGAACAAGCGAATTTGGGGCAAGAGGTTGCAAAAAGGATCAGAAGAGTAGTTTTGCACAAGTCCTTGTACGCATGCCATTTGAATAAAACTCACCCCGATGTATGTCCCTCGCATTTCCTCGCACATCTTGGGTTGTGATTTTGATTTCTCTGGTTGTAGTGGTGGTGACAAATGCCACTTTTCGTGAACGCACTTGCCATTTTGGCGGATTAATTTCAGAAATGACACACATTGAGCGTCCAGTTGTTTTGACATGAAAGGACATGAGCTCACACGGAAAGGGGTCCCAAATCACATTCATCCCTGGTTTGTTTCCAAAATCAAATGAGACCTGCCCCTGTGCGGGACGACTCTGTGAACCCTCATCATAGGCTTGAGACAAGGGTCACTTCTCCTTGAAAAGTTGCAATTTACTGGTGGGGTCCATTGAAACTGTGACTCGGCCATTTCCGGGCATGCCAATGTCCTCCAAGGGAACAAATCGTTCTAGATTGCTGAGGTGTGGTCATCGTGCCCAAGGACATTCGTTGTGTTTGGTATTTCGACTCGCCCCGGCCCCCCCCCCCCCTCCCCCGCTCGTGGCGCTATTGTGCCAAGGTAGAAATAAACTGTTTGCCGGGACTTGGAAGGCATCGTTTAGCAATCTCCTTAGGGACATTGAGACAGTCGTTGTGAGGACTCTTCTCAAGGAGGCCATGACCATGACCCACCTTTTGACCATGGCACATACAGCGGGTGCACTGTGTCACCTGTGTTCAGCGTCCGTGCTCAAGACAAACGGCTGGCAGCGTTTTCTCGTCACAGCCCTTTGTGAGACAAACTTGAATTGGTTCGCGTATCCCTGTGCTGCTGACCTTTGTCTTCTCGTCTGCTGGGAGGTATGTTCTCCACCAAACAGGTATAGCACGACTGGGTCAAATGACCAATCAATGGCTGCGTTGAAGACGACCTCACTCACGAGGAAGCCTCCTCCTGGAACCCACACATTTTGCTAAGTATATCGTAATGTGGTTGCCACAGCACATCAGCAGCACATGTCGAACGCAAAAAGTTGTCGCAACATGATCCTAATGTGATTCTTTGGCTTTAGTCCTGGGGGGGAAGCACTTCAGTCCTTGGGGGAAGCCCTGACCAGCACCTCACGTACAACCCTGGCTTGTCCACGTAGGTCCGGTGGTGCAGGATTGGTTTGCCCATGTAGGCCTAATATGAGGCACCACTTAGTGTGTATCGTCATATGTGGGATATGCCAACCCAAATGCATTCGTGCGTGCAAATCATTTTCCAAGTTCCCCTATCAGTTTGGGGCAACGCTTTGACATATCAGCTCCCGGCCAAGCGTCTGGACTACAAAGAGAGAGATCGGTTTGTCTCGAAACAGGGAACGCCTGGGCATGGCTGCAAAGGGTGACCAACAGGAAGTCAGCCAGTCTTTTTGTGGGTCCCCTAATCTTGACCCCGGAATCAACCACGTGGATCAGGGGATATTCTCCCAAAAGTGCAGGGTGCCCTAAATGCATAAGGAAGTAAACCAAATCCAGGGGTCTGGGTTCCCTATATTTCCGCGTTGAGTTGGCTACAGAACATCCACAATGTGGGCCAGGTGAATTTCCCAGGAACCTTTTGGGAACCTGGGTGTTCCCATGAAGTCGCAGGTAAACCAACCAGCCTCGGAGATTTGGGGAAGGGCGTTTGAAGGGACACCATGTGGATAATTTCCCGAAATTTTCGAGTGCCCATTTGGGTCTGTCGTTTCTAGGATTCGGACCGCGACCCCAAAATGGCGATTTCCTGCTTGCCTTTTTTGGTTTCCCTTGCAACCAAAAAGGAGGCACCAACTCAAACAAAGACAGACCCATTTGTGTGAGGAGTCCAAGAGTGTGAAGCTCTTTGACCTCCGGCAATGGCTTATGAAGGACAAGGCTGGGTCCCGGGCTCGGACGACTCGGGGACTCGTCGGAGTATTGGCCATGGTGAAAATGGACCCAGTCGCGCCACCTTTAGTCAGGATGGTCATGAAAGCTGACCCCATGGGTTTTTCGACACGCACGAACCCAAACAAGACAGTCTGAAAGTTTTCTGGGGGCTTTGGTTCGATGGGTCCCCAAAAAGCCACAAGCACACTCCCCTATCGCTGCCTTTGGTTTCACTTCGCCGGCACCTGGCGGGGTTTAGAATACAGAGGGACGGCCAGGTTTGTAATGGCCGCGTTCGTGTTGGTTGGGTTTGCTATATGGCCATGGGTCAGAACCTATGCATTTCTCCATTCTGGGGCGGAACACCCATGTACCATAATGATGTTCACCACAGGGGTTTGACAACCACAGCCATACACAAAAGTGGTTGCCGGTTTTTCGGTTTTTCGGGTGCCTTCATGGAGGCCTTGGACAAGGGGCGGAAGGGGGGGGGTGCGGTCCTCGGTCTTCCGGAAGCGTCGCGGATCTCCACTTTTGACGCCGGACAGAGAATTCCGAACTCCGCGTCCTCACCGCGCGAAAGTGAGCGATAGAATCGAGCGCTGTCATGTTGTGTTAAACGCTTGGTAGGCAGTGTTGCTCTTATTTCGACTCGTTGTTTGATGTTTGCCTGTTTGCTGCAGATGCTTGTTGCTGGTTTTCTCTCTGTAGCGGAGTTTGGCCACGCTGACACTACCTCCGAAATTGGACACATGCCGGATTGTTTACAATGAATCCAGAACTGTGTTGCAAAATAAACAGGGTTGCTCCGAGCCCTTGAAAGATGGCTCAAACCGCGAATAGACATTGGCTTGGTTTGTTTTGCCTTATCTTTCTCTTTTCATTTGTTCAACCGTTGTGCTGGGTTCTTTGGGGCAACCCTGACATGCGCGATTTCAGTGATGTAATTTTACATGGCGCATCGGGCATTGCTTATTTTAGCGACTGCTTGTCAGAAGGGTTGCAAGATCCTTCTTCACGGCTTGTTTGGCAGAGACGAAGTACTGCATCTCCTCCAAGACCCAACCTCCAGATTCTGCTGTTTCTGCCACTGCGACGCGGGACATGGCTGAACCCAACAGGCGTTTTGTATATGAGCACTTTTGCAACATGTCACGCATTGCGACGCTGTATTTGGAATGCAGCGCCGCGAGCTAGAGACATGCGAGCTACTGCGCTTAAGCCATGGATGTCCATCATCTCAACGTTGCCGTTGTTGCGGTTGTTGCTCAGATTGATTGCCGCTGTCACATTTGCTCACGGCAATCACTGATCAGCAACGATGTGTATTGTGCTGCACTGAGCCCAATGAGTCTGTTTCGTTCTAGCAAGTGGAACATGGGGCATCACTGGTCGATTTTGAGGATGCTTGCAGGATGTCCTGGAACCCAGATGTGCAGAAATGAGAATTGTCGATGTGCTTCCCGGACATAGGAATTTGTCTGAACATGAGAGGCCGCAAAATGTGGCCAGGGTTGCTTTTTGGCTTTCCTTACAACTCAATTCCACAGGGAAAGCCAGAAAACGTCCATGTTGTTCCTTTGGGACACCTCTCGGTTTCCTTTTGACAGCCCCGAAGAAGAAACGCACAACAAACCATAAGTGCGTTGCTGCGCAACGTCGCTGTTGGGCTCGGGATGTATTGCTGCCTTTGCTGGCCATTGGAAATGCGAATCTACGGATGTCGTTTCTCGGGGGGTGACTTTGCATTCTGCTGAACCTACTACCTGCTTCGTCGATGGGCTTGGTACCGGAGCCATCAGGCTATCACCTCACAATATGGGAGTAGTCTTAGATTGAAAATCCATTTCTAAAGTGGTTGTCTCTTGGATTTCCTTGAACTCCTCCAACACGGGGTCCCGGCTTAAGGCATGCTTGATTTTGATGATTTTGGAAGCACCAATCAAAGTGGTGTGGCTTTGGGACGGAATGACTGTATTTTCTTCACGTATATGTTTTTTCCTTCCAAATGACCCGGGACCAAAGAGTGTGGTTCGTCCCGTGCCTCTGCATGTTGCCGATCCCACGGGAAGAAGAGCCGTAGGGAGTTTTCCGATGGACACAATCCTCCACTTGGCTTGAATGAAGCCCTATCAAACAAAGCACCTAACCGGCACGCAACCAGCGATCGCAGGTCCTGCAGGATAAGTGGTGTCCAGAGGCAGCAGTCGGGACTGGACTCGACGCGAGAAGCGGAAGCGAGTTCGAATTCACTGCCGCGGTTGAAAATGGGAATTTCAAGTCCCATTGGTCCCTCTTTTTTATCCAAAGAATATTTTTCCGACCAAATGGTAGGGATTGCAACCAAATGGAAGGAAAGTGTGCGTGGGGAGGCATGTTCAAACTTGCGACACATGAATCGTATTCCAGCTCTGAGAGCCTGGCTCAGCTTTTGCGAATTTAGGTGGCTGGTGTTTTTGTTGGGGCTCGACTGCTTTCTTGTGGATTTGAAGGGACATCAAACGAAACACCAAAGCCATTTTGGGGGGTCCGATTCCCAGAAAACAACTAACCCATATTGCTGTGTCTCCATTTGTCACACGCTCACATCGATGGTGGCCAGGAGGTTTTGGCAAGAGGCCCGAGATGCCCTGCACATGTCTCGCTCGCAGTCCCACAGACTTCTTCTGCTAAATACAGAATGTCGGGACAGGGCCTTGATACTCAATAAGGCAGTCGGCAAGGTCTAAAGTCAGATTTACACTCCATCCCTCATGGCCTCTGGAACTCAATTCTATTTAAAGGTCATTACATAGTCCAAATCATGCAGAGTGATGTGTCAGGGAAGGTCATGGTGCGCTCCAATTCCAACGCTTGATCCGCTTGGTCACGTCCAAGTACGCTCAGTTGGTGTGGACCCGGGCTTCTTGCTTGGAGCACAACCCGCCTCCCCGCAAATTTTCAAGGGGATCCGCCCAAAGGAGATTGATCTACACAGGGCTGTTGGGTTTCTTGTCAATGTGGAGAGTAATCGTGGAGCAACCCGCCATGCTTCGGCTCATTTTCTGCACCAAGGGAGTCCCCCTAAAGTAGCCTCCGTGATGGCTGAGGTTGCGGGTTGTGATTCTAGCTGATCAGGGATCCCTTTTTTTTCCCAGAATTCCTGTTGCATCGATTCTATGTTTGAGCCGCATGGGAAGGTACGCAAAGCACGTGTGCGACCATTTCGGGGTAACATGAGGCAATACGGGAATGAATGTCTACGGCCCTCGCCCCGCCCCCTAAAACGGGGTCGCCCCCCCTCTCCTGTCGCCAGGTGCTGGTGACCATGAAGGAGCTGCCCAAGGGTCCGAGTGCCCAGAGTGGCGCAAACGGGGTGTCTTTTTTCGGTTGGACTAGCTTTTCTTGGGTGATAACGGGGAGCCACCAGGATTTCATTTTTTTTGGGGGGGATCATTGTGGGGGGGTCCCCTAGAAACTAGACAGGCCCGAACTTGAACCACCTCTTGGATGTTTGGTTCAGATCTTCCTCAACTGATGGCTTGGTTTGAGGATTTGAAGCCCCGGCACTTGTAGAGGGTACGTGGGAAACCACCCCCTAACCTCCAAGCCACCAACCAAACCAACAATTAGTGGGAAGCTGATCTTAGAGGTTTGTTTGCTGTGTCATGTGTTTGTATGATTTTGTGTTTGATGAGCAACAACACAAGCACTTTGGGCTGTTTAACAATTAGTCCTATTTATTGTATGTGTCTGTTTGTTCAACAAACACAACCACTTTGGGTTGTCCAAAGTCAATCTCATCGCCCGTATTTTGAACAATCCAGTTGAGCCTTTCAGACATGAGCTTTGATATTTATCCATTGACCTGATCTTTAACCCTTGGTTTCCCCACCTCGTGGAAGCGCCACTGCAAATGTGCCCTTGTGGTACTTCACCATATTGTTCTAACGTACCGAGTAGCTGATCGACAACCTTCCCTTGAAACATTGAAGCCTACCTTGCTGCCCGGTTCCCAGACTGCATCTCCCTCTATGAGAGCCAGTTGCGCTGCAAACATGTGGCAATATGCGCATTTTTGTGCATGTGTATGTACATATATATATATATAATGTTGTATGTATGTGTTATGTCAAACACACGGTGTGTGTGTGTGTGTGTGTGTGTGTGTGTGTGTGTGTGTGTGTGTGTGTGTGTGTGTGTGTGTGTGTGTGTGTGTGTGTGTGTGTGTGTGTGTGTGTGTGTGTGTGTGTGTGTGGGGGTATGTGTCAAAATAGGCAGACCCCCCCCCAAAAAACAAGAGGAGCCCGGGAACCCAAAAGCAAACCAGCCTCACTCCCCATGGCATGTGGATCCCGTTGTTTTCCGGCTCAAGGGTCCGAAGGCAAACCAAGAAGGGGAGCAACCGCGACGCAAGCCGGATTGGCAGCCAGCAGCCTGTGCTCTGACCAAGCACAGAGAAAAAGGCAAAGGCACGGGTGAAACATGACAGGCCCCGCGCTACATGGAAGGCACGAAGTCATCCGATTCAATCGCAGAAATCCGAAAATGGATCCGCACAAACTACCACTCCCAAATTGGAAGCAAGGCATAAGCTCGCTCTACACACATCTGAAACAAGTCTGAGACACAGTGTTACAACACGATCTGAGTAGACCGGGGTCAGCTGTTCGGATGTTCATGCGCCCTTTTGTTTGGGCCGAGTGTGCTCAGCATATTCATGTCAACGTGCTTCCAGGCTGCTTCCAAATAAGTAGGGCGAACCCCAAAAGGCCACAGACTCTGAAGAGAGGGTTCGTCCTAGAAACACATTGGCGCCATTTGTTCGGGTCAGGTGTGCGGCAAAAAAAACAATCTTGGCGCACCTGGAACGCCGGGCTGTTCACTGTCACATGGAGCTTCCGCATGTCACGAGCCTCCACCGCGCCAGTCTCGCTCGCGGGCGGTTTCCGCATGTCACGAGCGTCCACCGCGCCAGTCTCGCTGGCGAACGGTTTCCGCATGTCACGAGCGTCCACCGCGCCAGTCTCGCTCGCGGGCGGTTTCCCGTCCCCCGCGGCAGTCTCGCTCGGGGGCGGTTTCCGCATGTCACGAGCGTCCACCGCGCCAGTCTCGCTCACGGGCGGTTTCCGCATGTCACGAGCGTCCACCGCGCCAGTCTCGCTCGCGGGCGGTTTCCGCACGTCACGAGCGTCCACCCTCGGCAGTCTCGCTCGCGGGCGGTTTCCGCATGTCACGAGCGTCCACCGCCCCACTCTCGCTCGCGGGCGGTTTCCTCATGTCACGAGCGTCCACCGCGCCAGTCTCGCTCGCGGGCGGTTTGCGCATGTCACGAGCGTCCATCGCGCCAGTCTCGCTTGCGGGCGGTTTCCGCATGTCACGAGCGTCCACCGCGCCAGTCTCGCTTGCGGGCGGTTTCCGCATGTCACGAGCGTCCACCGCGCCAGTCTCGCTCGCGGGCGTTCTCCGCATGTCACGAGCGTGCGCCGCGCCAGTCTCGCTCGCGGCGGTTTCCGCATGTCACGAGCGTCCACCGCGCCAGTCTCGCTCGCGGGCGGTTTCTGCATGTCACGAGCGTCCACCGCGCCAGCCTCGCTCGCGGGCGGTTTCCCCATGTCACGAGCGTCCGCCGCGCCAGTCTCGCTCGCGGGCGGTTTCCTCCTGCCACGAGCGTCCATCGCGCCACTCTCGCTCGCGGGCGGTTTCCTCATGTCACGAGCGTCCACCGCGCGAGTCTCGCTCGCGGGCGGTTTCCGCATGTCACGAGCGTCCACCGCGCCAGTCTCGCTCGCGGGCGGTTTCCGCATGTCACGAGCGTCCACCGCGCCAGTCTCGCTCGCGGGCGGTTTCCGCATGTCACGAGCGTCCACCGCGCCAGTCTCGCTCGCGGGCGGTTTCCGCATGTCACGAGCGTCCACCGCGCCAGTCTCGCTCGCGGGCGGTTTCCGCATGTCACGAGCGTCCACCGCGCCAGTCTCGCTCGCGGGCGGTTTCCGCATGTCACGAGCGTCCACCGCGCCAGTCTCGCTCGCGGGCGGTTTCCGCATGTCACGAGCGTCCACCGCGCCAGTCTCGCTCGCGGGCGGTTTCCGCATGTCACGAGCGTCCACCGCGCCAGTCTCGCTCGCGGGCGGTTTCCGCATGTCACGAGCGTCCACCGCGCCAGTCTCGCTCGCGGGCGGTTTCCGCATGTCACGAGCGTCCACCGCGCCAGTCTCGCTCGCGGGCGGTTTCCGCATGTCACGAGCGTCCACCGCGCCAGTCTCGCTCGCGGGCGGTTTCCGCATGTCACGAGCGTCCACCGCGCCAGTCTCGCTCGCGGGCGGTTTCCGCATGTCACGAGCGTCCACCGCGCCAGTCTCGCTCGCGGGCGGTTTCCGCATGTCACGAGCGTCCACCGCGCCAGTCTCGCTCGCGGGCGGTTTCCGCATGTCACGAGCGTCCACCGCGCCAGTCTCGCTCGCGGGCGGTTTCCGCATGTCACGAGCGTCCACCGCGCCAGTCTCGCTCGCGGGCGGTTTCCGCATGTCACGAGCGTCCACCGCGCCAGTCTCGCTCGCGGCAGCCTCGCGCGCCCAGTCTGCACCACACCGCCGTCCCCCCAGCCAGCCAGTCTCGCTCGTGGGCGGTTTCCAGCCACGCCCAGCCTGCGCCCCCCCAGCCAGCCTTTCCAGCCAGCCTCGCGCACCCAGTCTGCACCACACCGCGGCCCCAGCCAGCCCCACACCGCTGTCCCCCCAGCCAGCCTCGTACGCCCGGTCTGCACCCCCAGCCGGCTTCGCACGCCCGGTCTGCAGCACAGCGAAATGGAAATCCCTTCTTATCTCCGTCGTCACAGCTTGTATCGCCCCCAGGCACCTTAAGAGAAAACCTTGCTTTTGGGAAAAACAAAAAACAAAAACAGAAACACAAACAAAATGAGCTCAGGTGATATCCCCAACAGCATGCGGTGCTCTTTTTAGTGCTCGCGCCACGAACCCTCGTGGAACCTTGGTGGAACCCTGGTGGAACCCTGTTGAAACCCTCGCTCGTGGAACCCTACCTCAGGGCCGCCCTGGACCACCCCGGAGCCTATCTGGGCTGACCCCAAAGCTTTCAGCTGTGTGGATGCTCTAAACGTTACAAGTGAAGCAAGAGAACCTAATTTGCTGCAATTCATCCTGGTTTTGCAGTGTATGTGTGTGTGTGTGGGTGGGTGGGTGCGTGCGTGCGTGCGTGCGTGCGTGCGTGCGTGGGTGGGTGGGTGGGTGGGTGGGTGGGTGGGTGTGTGTGTGTGTGTGTGTGTGTGTGTGTGTGTGTGTGTGTGTGTGTGTGTGTGAGTGTTTGGCCTTGCAATACTTCGCTTCCATGTGTTTAAGGATACTTTTTATTTTCCCCTCTTGCTTTCAAAGGGAATCTATCAGAATCTATCACTTCCACAAATCGAGGTTAGGGCATCCGTGCCTTGCACAGCACGAGCCGATGTGTCTCAGGTGCGACAGGAAAGCCGGCGCGTTCGGCGCTGAGTTTGCGGTTTCCGGGGCTAATCGGACTGAGAGCCGGTGTATGGGAAGCAAGATGAGGGGCTGAAGGCTTACGGTTTCATCCAAAACTACATGGGGTAAGAACTGGTACACACTAGAAGGGCTGAAGGTTTGAGGCTTCATGAAAAAGAATTGGTGAGAAAAGGACACACTGAACGGACCGAACAATTCGCATGGTGTGGGTACTTGGAAACCATTTAAGTCATTTTCACAGATGAAGCATTGGAGCAAAATGTTAGCGATGATTTAGTCCCTCATTTTATTGTTTGAGTGCTGTGAGCAGGTAAAGGGGTTGCCGTTGGAAGGGTGTCCTTCACTGGCTATTTATTCCCAGAAAGGGGGGGTCAAACAGTCAAAACTGTTCGTTTTGCTCGCTGACGACTTTGACTTGACTAATTTACTTCTCCTTTCATGCACATGAGCTTCCTGTTTGCACGCCAGCGAGTGGTTGTAGCGTTTGGAAGGAAGTGGATGTGTTTCATTCGCTGGAGTTTGTGTGGTTCCCGCATTGTAGCGTGGAGGTGTCATGATTAAACGGAAGGAATGACGGAGGTTCGCGCGAATTTGGACCCCCGTGTCAGAGAGTCACTCTTGGTTGTCCTTGAGAGGGGTTCAACCCGAGTGTGTGTGTGCGCTTTGTCGTGGAGATCAATTTGTCAAAGGACTGGGAGATATGAAGATACAACCTAAGCCTTGTCACGGCAGCAGTTGCGTGTTGGAACACGGAGGCTGGCAGCAGAGTGCTTGTTCACTTGACATGGGTGGTGTGGCATTTGACAAGGGCTATTTGTCCACTTTTCCGGGTGATTTATACCCATTATTTTCAATGCCCCCTAAATAAACCAAAAGGGGATGCTTTTTTGGCACGGTTTCTCAGACCTCATAGTTTAGCAGCTGGTTATATTTTTTGCGGAAGTGGAGGTGCTGATGTTGTGTGATGCACAGGTGGAAGCGTTGCGACCCACTTTGCGGGCTACTTCTGCCATGGTCAATCACAAGGGGCTCCTGGACTCGTCAAATGGGAACTTGTTGACGGTTGCCCTTTCTGAGTTGTCCAACGCCGACCTTTTCACCTTTTGGTGTTCCCATTTTGGCCGAAGTTTTACTGACCCCAACAAGCGATCACCTTTTGAGGTCCCTGAAGGGCAACTGGGCGTTGTGTGAGTGTGCATGTAAGTCCGGGGGACAAATCTAAGCTTTTTCGAGGTGTGAACTTGGCGAAGAAGCTTGGAATCGAGACGTCGGGGCCCGAGCACGGCAAGGGGCGGGACCCGGTTGATTCGCACGTGATTTGTTCCACTTGGCCGGCCTTATTCTGCACGTGACTAGCATTTTGGGGCAACATCAACATCTAGGTATGGATCAAAATTGAGCCACCAGGGGACCGAAGGTTTGAGTCCATGTTTCTGTTTACCAGGGTTCCATTTTGGATACCTATGTTTGACCCATTGCCATCTGATTAGAGGGCAAAGACATCCGATCATCTTTGTGTGCACCACCTAAGTCCCGCCATAGTCGCCATGCCTTGCCCTTGGATCCTTGCTTCCTCACCGCATGCAGAGAATTGAAGCGACAAGGTTTCAAGTTGACCTTCTTTCCCCGTGGCCATCTGAACCGGTTATACAAGGCATCATAGTGGGGGGGGGGGGGGGAATGATCACGAACTCGCTGAACTGCACTGCCATGCCTGAGCGGGTGGTCATGGTTTTCGGCTTGCTTTCCTGTTAACCACGGTCCCCCCCCCCCACAGTGGGAATGCGGATCCTTTGGTTTGGAGTTACCCTAAACGTGGCAGCCAACGACCGCGTGGCCCGCACTTCCGCGAAGCAAAGGCTCGACGGCAACCTCAAGGAGTTCGCGCATGAGGGCTTGTGAAGGCCGGGCGGGGGGGGCGCGCAACTCAACAGGATCCCTATTGAATTCAATCTCCTTTGGATTTCTTTTCTGGGGCTACAAAAACAAGTTCAACCTGGGTGACGCTCTGGTGTTATGAAGATCCCAGGCCTCCGGTGGCCGAGGTGGCCCTTCTTTCTCGCCCCTTTCTGCTGACCACTGGAGCTCGGGGGTGCCCACTCCTTCGCCATAAGTATGGAAGCCCCACATTCTTGTGCCACAAAGTGGCTGAAGCCTAGGGCCAAAAGGGCTGCGCGAATTCTTGATGGACTTGTTGAGAGTGTGTGCGATGCAGCCCTTGTTTGCCATCGCTTCCAACACTCCGGAACATGCTCGAAATGAACACCTGCTGAGTGCAAAGTGGTGATACACAATCCTGCTTTACTCCTCCATTGGCTTTCGAAACTCATGGGAACGAGCTCTAGTTTTGCCACACAAACCAGGAATGCACGAATTTGTCATGTCCTATACAGTATTTGAGTATTGCAACCTCGACTCACATATGTGTACGTCTGAGGGTACCCCTAGGGCCGTTTGACCTAAACCACAAGTTTATGGAAGTCTGTCCTGGCTCGAGCGGAGTAGGTGAGTTTGGTTGCGATGGGTAGATTGGTCTCCTTTTCCTTTGGTGTATCAGGGGTTGCCATTGTCCACGTTGCTTCTGGGTGTTTGGCTTGTGAAGGCTCAGTTGCTTGCCATTGGCGTACTTGCCTACAAGTGATTGCTTGCTTTGCTTTGTTTGCTTGCTTTGCTTTGCTTTGCTTTGCTTTGCTTTGCTTTGCTTTGCTTTGCTGGCTGGCTGCTGGCTGGCTGGCTGCTGGCTGGCTGGCTGGCTGGCTGGCTGCCTGCCTGCCTGCCTGCCTGCCCGCCTGCCTGCTTGCTTGCTTGCTTGCTTGCTTGCTTGCTTGCTTGCTTGCGCTTGCATGCCTCTAAGATGACCAAATCATAAGGATAGAAAGCTGGTGTCTGCCTGAGGGGAAGAACCATGTTTCCAGCCTTTGTGCCTTTGAAGTTCACGCGTCAGGCTGCCCTTGAGGAGCGGACCACGGCTCCCGAGATGCGGAGGGTTCGAGTCGAGGCCAATCGATGAGCTGAGAGCGCACCTGAACATCTTCAGCTTTGTTTTTAAGCTCGTTCTTACCCTAGGTTCGGTCAACATGACTGGTAGTGTATGGGCCTTTTGGGTGGGACAGTCTATGCTCCTTTTGGAGACACATGGTGGACTTGCCGGATTTCCCACAGCCGCCAGGGACTTGCCAGCGGGAAACATGTAATTTGGACAGTGGCTCATCTTATTTGGAAGTTCTCGGACCCCTGCAAAGGTGTTTTTCCTGCTGGCTTCCCTTCAAAACCATCCCAAAGAGGGTCCACCCTTTTGATAACACCCACTTTGAAACTCATACTCAGCTGACATCTTTGCTTCACTGTTTGCTCTTGAGACACTTTTGCGGTGCGTGCGGCGGACCTGATGCTTTCTCACACCTGGATTGGTGGATGGAGGAGATGCAACCCCTTAAAGATCTCGGTGAAACATCGACATCCCCCCCTTATTTGCGATATATACGATATATGTACATGATATGTATATGTTTTTCTAGATATGTTCTGTTTTTTGTATATACAGACATGATCTAAGCTTGGCAGAAGATGCTCGGGCCCCACGATGAGCCGCTTTCAGCACGATCGAAACTTGTTCAGACCATCTCAGGCACAAAGAAACACGGCCGCTGACAACTTCCATCCGCCAGTAGGCTGGAACAGCCAGCAATGTCTGGCGCAAGACTATTGCTTTCGGAAGGTAAAAAGCAGACCTCGCAGCTGGAAGGAGAATCTCCTTGCTACTGTGGATGGTTGCGAAATCCATTTCGCACCACCTAAGAAACCATGGTTGAGACCATTGTTGGTTGGTATTTGCAGGAAAATTCTCATTCTAGGGTTTCTTGGCTGGTGCAAAATTTCGTCCATCCACAGTCTAACCCAAAGCTTTTGTATTTTACTGCGGTAGACGGTATTCTCCGAGGTTGTTGGAGATCCCTCATTGGCAGCGTAAACTGCACGCCGGGGTTTCTATGCAAGCGCTTGGTTTGGCGGATTTCTCAAATCTTGGGCGGCCAAACGGTATCAGGCGAATGCTAGGGTGCCTTCCAGTTTTGCAAATTCACACTGTTCTGCGTCAGTGGCATTGCATGCCGCCTGCTGTATCAAATCATATCAAATCCAACTGCAAAGGCAAGAACCAGGCAAAGCAGAATGCGACGCCCCTATTAGTCTAGCCGATTCCGCTGCAACAAGTTGGATACCCTTCGTTCAACACTCACACACACACACAAGGCCCTGAGGTCGTGGTTCAAATGTTGCTTTGTGGCGCCCTGCAAACCAATCAAATGTGAGGGAACATACCGGGCCAGGATGCAGCGCTTTGCTGAGCAAGAAAGATGCGTAAAAGAGCCGGTCTGGCCCATCATCTCTGCACAATGAAGCACCCTATGGGTGTGCGTGTTTTGTTGACACGTTTAGCGGGAAACCAAACATCAGACCGGTGCCCCTTTGACAAATGCCCCTACCCAACATGGCACAGTGGCTTTGGAAACAAAGGCTAAAGCCCTGTGGTTTGCCCCAGCTGTTTAATTTTCAGGCAGACGGGTCTTTTTTTGTTGGTGGCACCCCTGTGACTTGTGGTTCAAAGGGACACCAAAAAGGCAACAACCCATTTTTTTTTGGGCGGAACCCCAATTGACATATCCCCACATTGGTTCAGAGTCTCACTGGTTTTCCAAGCGACGCTTTTTTTGATGGCGTCGGCCGTGGAGGATTCGAGCCATTCGGCGGCTTGGGGCTCCTTCTACTGCTCCTCGCCACTGCGATGTGGGCTCGCCGCTTTTAGGTCGGAGTTGGACCCACCAACAGTGGTGGTTTTCCTTCTCTTTTCCCTTACAACCAACCGAAAGAGGGGTCCCCAAAAAAGGCACCCCCATAATTAAGCCCCCAAATAGCCCGATGGGTGGTCGTCAAAGTGGTGAAGGGCAGCGAAACAGAGATTCGGCCCCCCCCCCCCCCCAATGTGTGATAATTAATCATGGGGGTTCCCTGTAGGATTTCCCATAAGCCAACTTTGGAAAGAGACTTGCAGCATTTCTTTGTTTGCTTCAACTTTTTGTCGAAATGATGTGCTGCAAGTGCGTTCAATCTCTTGGCGAGGGCATTGTATCTATGAAGTCAAATTGTTTGGCTGCTGCAAAACTTGTTCTTTCCTTGACATTGGTGGTTGAGTGCCATTATGAATCTAGCGGAAACTTCGCCTTCATTCCAGAGATCCTTCTTTTCAGGTAACCACCACAAACTCACGGGAACCAGCTGGTTTTTGAAAAGAACGATGATTGAACAGCATGGGGAAACAACCCCTAGAAGTAAAGCACTGACTGTATCCTGATATCCATTTTGTCACACGTCAAATCAGCACATGTGCCAATTTGGGAGAGCATGTAATCAAGATCTTAACCATGCCTAATAATCTTAAACCGTCATGTTGCCCTCCAAGGTTGTCCTGCCACCTGGAAAGGGAGCTAGTGACTGGAAGGTTCCTGTAGATGAGGCCCGCAGTCACCTGCCGAGACAGGTTGTGCATCAGTATGTGATATTTGCATAGCTCTGGCAGAAGCTTGCTGGTGAAACAGGGTTCTGGCTTAAAAGATCCGTTTGTTTCAGCTTGCCTGAATCAGTCTGTGGGTGGCAACATGGTCGATGAGGAGACGGTCTTGGAGACTCCCCCGCCACGTGAGAGCAAGCGCGCCAAAGATCCCCAGAGCGCTGCGCCCGAGCAACGTGCGCCCAAGCGTGGTCGAAAGAGCAGAGATGCAGAAGAGCTCGCTTCAAATGCTACCAAGCTGGAATCCGAAGCGGAAGGAATGTCTCAAGAGGCGATTGCAGCGGAGAAAGCAGCAGTTGAGGCCATGGAACGAGCTCAGTCCCTTCATGCCAAAGCTGTTGCCGTGGCCAAGCAAGCTGAAATAGCCAAAGTTGCAGCGCAGGAAGCACGGCAGAAGGCAGAACGCGCGGAGTTGTCAACGACCAAAGAGGGCCGAGATGCATTGAAGGCCTGGATATTTGTGAAGAGAATGCTGGGTGATTCATAATTCATAGTTTTGATTCATGATGTAGCCTGATGAATGCTATGATTAACAAATGAGTCAACGAGCAAGTTATGAATTTTGGGGAGTTGGTACACTTGGGAGTAGGCAGAGCCCACGCAGATTTGAACTTTGAAGTGCTGGATGTGACAAGCGCACACTTAGTTTTGCCGTGAGCTTAGACCAAGGTCTACAAACATGTGGTCATTTCCAGTGTGCTCCAGGGCACTTTTTTCATCAGCATTCACATAGGTTTGGAACTGACCACACATCTGCTGGCAGCGTTGATATCTGATCCTTCGTCAGCTCTGCTATGTCGACGCGCGCGTTTGCGGCCAAAACCAGGAGAGCAAAACTTGCTTCGCGTGTTTGTTGTTTGTTTTCATGCGCAACGCATGCAGTTCTAAGTGCTAATCGACAGCAAAGATGAAGTATTTCCTTCCAATACCCTGGATTTTCCTTCGGACTTCCCACACCTTCCGGAGCAACGTAAAGCCGATAAACGTGGCCTCAAGCTTGAGTATCACTACACCCCCTCCCAACCCCCGCAAATCCCTCCCCCTCAGATTCCAAATCTTGGGCCCGACGCCGGCCTCAGCCTTTTACATGCCAGGCCCAAGACAAGGCTGACAAACAAGCAGCCAAAGAGGCCGAGAAAGCTCGAAAGCAAGCGGACAAGGAAGAGGCAGCGGAAGCACGCAGCGTCATCAAGAAGATCGGGGATGACATCAAGGCTTCTATGGTGATTTGCAAAAGAGCTGGCATGTGGGAAGTTCCTCCAGGCATGGTGGTCAACGTGGGCGATGTCCATGGCTTGCTGTTTTGGATGGAAAGAGGGACTTAAGAGAACATCAGGCCTTCTCATCGGAGCTTTGAGTATGGAGAAATACCAGGGTGCCCAGATCTTTCTGAGGGGTTGCAAACATAGGTGTCCTTTTTGGTTGGTTTGCTGCAAACATAGAGGACCCTGGTTTACCTGGTGGTTCAATAATCTACCAGGGCCATCTATGTTCCAAAAAGGACACCTATGGTTGCAAAGGTTTCAGTCAGCGCAGGCTCCGTCTCCTTTAAGAATGTGAAGTTTGCCATCTTCAAGGAGCTCTTTTCACGTGGCCGTTGCAATTTTTCGCCGTCAAACTTCTGCAAGTCTGATGCGAGTATCGTGGTGATGTTCAAAGATGCTGCCAGCATCTTTGGAGCCACCAAGGCAGGCCGAATGCTTCTGAAACGGTTTGCGTGGCAGTTGAGTATATGCCATGTGACAATTTAAGAGTCGTGCATATCTCTTGGACACTCACGAAAGCATGTAACACAATAAAGAAGACAAATGCATCACATTCATAAATCTTGCCATGTAGTTTTGCTGCAAAGCCAACAACAACATAGCTGGAATATTTCTCATGCACACGAGAAGCTTTCCGGTGTCGGCGGACAAAAAGCTTTCGGGAGTACACGACACTTGTACTACAAAGTTGCGATTTTCGAGCTGGAGCTGCCGTGCTGCACGCGTACTTCGATTTTCGAGCTGGAGCTGAGGAAGTTTACTTTGCGTGCTAAAAGTTGCGTTTTGAAGTGGCGGAAGTGTACTTTGTGCAGCGGGTGGTTTGTCCTGCCAAATGATACAGCAGAAGACGATGACGTTGGGCAGCAGTTTGATATGTAAAACGACAAGGCTGCAACACCGATAATACCAGGTATGCATCCAGTTTAGTCAGAGGTTTTGCAGCAACCTCAGTTCCAAATGTTATTTTGGGTTGTTCAGAAAGTGATGTAACAAAGAGACGGACTTGAGCCTAGTGCACGCCTCTTTGCAACCCCTTCTTGCCACGTCCTGTGCACATCACGAAAGTCAGTGTCAGTCTCACATGGAGGTACGTGGCGGCTCGATGTATGCCACCTTTGTCATTAGCAGCCTCCGTGCGAACTACATCCCTGCCACGGGCCAGCTGAACATCTCCTACAGCACTGACATGGGTTTTTGAAGATATTTGTGATGACGTGCGGGTATGGCTCAAAAGTGAGAGCCATATCCTGAGGTCAAGTGTGCAGATGTCATACATTGGATCACTTGTCCCTCAACAGCGATGCTGTTGATTTCCTCCGGGAGTTTCCCTGAGCCGATGCACTGGCAAACTTTAACATGAAAGTTGAGATGTTCTGGACCATACGGTTTTGAAGCTTCCAACCAGCTCCAACATTGAAGCGCTTTCTCAATCTTTCTCAGTTTGCAGGTGAAACAAAATAAAGACTCCTGGTACGTCTCATTCCATGCCGCCCAGACACAGCTGGGGCAAAGCTAAGCCTGGTGTGGCAAATGATAGTTGCGGAGATTCTTGCTGGGTTTCTGAAGCGTGCATGCAACAGCCTTCCAGCTCCAGTTGAGATGTGTGAGAGGAAAGGTTTGCAGCCGACTCAAAGCTGGAGTGAGGTTTCATGTTGAGCTGTCAGTTTTGTGGAATGCCAACGTCGAATTTGGTGAGTTTCACATCATGATGTTCGTGCCTCTAAGCTTGTGCGTTAAGAGCTGCAAGCCTTCCTCAGCTTCAACGAAGCTCAGCATTTGGGAGTGTCTTTATTTGAGGGAACCCTTTTAAAGAGAAGCCAAAAGGACACCAACCATTTTTGGGGGTCCCCTAAAGACACACTCATGTGGCTGGCAGGCGACTCAGGGACTGCGTTTGTCAAAGTGATACTGCGATGGGGCGCGTTGAAAATGCTTACATTGTGCTGCCTTGGTGACAAGTAGAGGTGCTCCTATGTCCTGCGTACTGTGTGTTGTGATGCAGAGGACAAAGTGCCAGCATGTATTCACAAACGATGTGCATGTGCATCTACAAGTACAAATAGACATATTCGCGACAGATGGTTTGAATGTACTTGATGGAATATTGGATTGCGCAACACTGTCGATGGACGAAATCCTGTGCCAGTTGGGATGGATGAAGCCCTACGAAGAATGGAGCAAGCCACCTGCGCAGTACGAATTCGTGCTTAGCAGGGGACTGGCCAAATCGTCGCACAATGAGGTTGGCTGTTCCAAAAGTCAGCGATGGAATGCTGGACGGCTGTCCGTATTTTCATCTCGTCCCTGCGTTTGCTAGCAATGAGGCGTCGCAACGCACCGCTGGGGCTACGCCTGCTGTCTGCTTTGCGAGAAGGACTCAGACTGTGGTAAGGCCAGAGGGCCGCAAGGCCGTTTGCCCAGGGGTCCAGATTACCTGGGATTTTCCTTTTGGGGGAATCAACCATCCCTCAAATCAAGTCTTTCTTTGGAGTAGGCAACACACCTTTGGGCCCCTGCATTCGCCGGGGAAGGAAGCATCGCGGCTGGAGCGCCGTGGGAGTTGTTCATCGCAATGCGAGTAACTTGCAGGGAAGGAGGGAATGACCGTATGGATTCCTTGAAGCTTCAAGGAATCCATACGGGATGGTTTCTAGGGGTCATTTCCACATTCCCTACTGAGCACCAGCAAGGCAAGCGTGTAGGTTGCTCACCGCAATGATTTGTCCGTAAACAAACCGCAAGCCCTTGACCACGTCGGGCTTCCGTGCTGGGAGTGACGTTTAGTTTGCGTGACATTTCACCACAATGCCAATTTAGCTTTATGTCACTGAAGCAAAGCGTGCCACTCTTGGGGAAGTCGAGTGTGAAGACTTAGATTTGCGGGTTCCTGATTCATTGCTTGTTGAAGCACTTGGGTTGATGGTTGCTCAGGTTCCGGTTGTTCTATGCAGTGATCTAAGTGCCCTGCGCTTGACCAGCCAACTGGGCCAGCCGCGGCTGGGTAAGCAACAGGAAATCGCGAAGCCATGAATTCTCAGCCACATGTTGACAGAAGTCCCTTGTAAATGATACCCACAGCGTCCCAAGCAAAAAAGACCATTCGCGTTTAGAAGGGCCCAAGAGCATTCCTGTGAAATGACCCCCCCCATGTTGACTCCATCGGATCCCCGTAGGTCGCTGCCCTGGAGTCAGGGGCTGGTGAGGGTGCAGCTCCGTCGGCTTCCGGTGAGCCAGCAGCTGTGGCAGAGGTGCAGGAGGAGAGGAGTCGGAAGTGACTCGGGGGGTTTCCTTTGCTTGCCCTTGGCATCTTTGAAGTTCATTGCCACACTTAGCTTGTTTTCTTGGTTTTGCTGCTTCCGGGTTTTTCCGGCTCCCCTTTCAACCAGCTAAGTCTGCTTCTTTTGTTTAAACTGAATTGAACAAAGGGGGGTACTTCATTTTCCCATCGCCATAGAGCAAGCCACGTTGGAACACTTGCTTAAATGTCCTACTGTCGGTGGCATTATCTTCCAACTCAGCCAACAAACATGGCGCTTTATTCCCATGGATGGGCAAAAAAGGTGGATGTCTCTTTTGGGCAAACCCCTGGAAGTGAAGCAACCGCCACCAAACACAAAGCCCTTCAGTGTGGCTAACTTCCCTTGCTCCTACTGCTTTCTCCTGGGCTCATCCGCCGTTTCTGGCCAAGAATAGCTCGCGCGCTGAGAGCCCACATGCTTCTTCCGGGATTTCACACTCGCTACCTTCTCAATAGAAAAGGCGCCTGGTTTCAACATCACAATTGCAGCTTCATGACTGATCTCCCGAGGATGCCGTGTTGAAGGTACCTTGTCAAAGGCCAGGCTGTTGCATGCCACCTTGTTGAACTCATATGCGGAGAATTTGAAACCGGGGGTCTTTTGGGACTCTATTGGGGCTGGTTTCCCACAAAGCCTCAGATTACGCAGAAATGACCATACAGCTGGAATGTTTATACCAGCGGTTCATCTATGGCCGTGTTTTGTGCTGGGAACACCCTCAAAATGGTTGATGAACATGACCCCCATGATGTGCATCATGCCTTTTTTGAGGCAATTTGAGGTTCCAAGAAACAGGCTAAAGAACCATTTGGGTATCCCTGTGTGGTGGTTTTCGAGGGGGAACCAAAAGGAAGACCGCTCATGTTGGGGGTTCCTAAATAACCAATACACATTTTGGGGGGTTCCTTACAAAAAAGACACACCCCAAAATGGGGCGTCCCTACAAAAGACCCCCATTTTTGGGGGGTCCGGTGGGCCCTCTTCGCCGGGAGGATCCTGGGGAAGCGGCGCCTTTCCGGGGCTCCGCGGAAGTGGAGCGGATCTTGGGCACGGAGGTGTCGAGGCCCTTCCAGGCGAGTTGGGGTTGGGGGGGGTGGGGTTGGGGAAGCTTAGGGCGGGGGGGGTGGGGTTTGGGGGTGGCGGGGGGATGCGGGGGTTGTTGGGGAGTGGGTTGGGGGGTGAGTGGGGTTGGGGGGGTTGGGGGGTGGGGTTGGGGGGTGGGGGGGTGGGGGGTGGGGTTGGGGGGTGGGGGGTGTTGGTCTGGAGAAATGCGTGTGCGCGGGTTTGAATTTGTCAGAAAGGGGTGTAAGAGAAATGCCATATTGGTTGTGACTCATGCCACTGGCAAACTATTAGTTAGTAAATTAGTAATTGTTTGGCCCCTTACACTAGATACACAGGAAGGGTGCTACGTGGTGAAGCCGATGAGACATGTTCTTAGTGTGCCGGAGTAGAACTGGGAGGTACGAAAGCGCCGTGCAAAGGAATGCAGCGCTGAGATGGTTTGAGCATGTTGTGGGTTTGTTCAAGTCACTCAGACTTGAGGAGTGTGTCGAAATCAGTATTCCTGTGGATACTGAGATATTTTGCGAACAATTGCTCTTCCCCATTTGGGCATCCTTTTTGGTAAATGAACAAATCTGGATTGTTCAACCCCGGATTTTGAATACTGGTTGACAAGCCAACTACGTCTGCGAGGTGGAGTTTGTTCATCCAAAGGTTTGATGGGATCTCAAGTTTTTCTTCGGCGGACTCCGGGCGGGAGATTCACAAGGGGGTTCGTGGGGTTGGAGGGGCCTTGTATTCCCTAGATTCCGACCAGTTTCTCTCGCAAAGCTTGGGACTTCTTAGGTGGTGCGAATGGATTCGGTCCACCCACACATGCGTTCTCATTTTCCTTGTTGCCGACCGACCGAGGTTGGTCCTGCCATCTAGGTTCACGCAGCTGTAAGCTGCATCGCGCGCTAGTCTCTTCTGAATGCAAGAAAAGCTGGCCAAAATTTGGCCACTGACTGAAGCCACTGGACATCTTACATTTGGGCTTGTGTTTTTGTTCAGGGTATCCTTTTTCGGGCGGATTGAAAGATGAACCAAAAGGAACACCGCCACTTTTTTCTTCTTCTTTTTTGGGTGGGGGGAGGGGATTTTGTCACGTTAGTACCGATGTTGGCTTCAACGGGGGGCATGGCTTGCTCGTTGACACCTCTTCAACTTGTGAGGTGCTGGGGCTTCCTACGCTCGGTGCCACTAGCTATGCGGTGAGGACCCGATGCGGACACAAGAAGAACGCCATCGCCACCTCAGACAAACCTCAAACAACATCTGACGCCCAAACCCACCTAGATCAGAAGAAAATGGCATCGGGCCTTGGGTGTTCCAAAGTACCTGTCTCCCGTTTCCGGTTCTCAGGTCCCAAACGAAGTTCCGGGGTGCGAAGTGATGGCCGTCTTTTGGCTTCCACGTTGTACAAGCTAGCGGACTTCTGCGGCGAACACCTGGGAGGTTCAAGCCCCCCAGTCTCCATTTTTTTTTTAAATGTGTTTATTAGGCTTCCCCTAAAACGGGTGGTTTCAAAAGGAAACCAAAGGAAGGAACACCCACTCATTGTGGGGGCCCCTGATTTTATTTAAGACTCGCAATTTCGCAATGAGGGACGGCCTTTGTGGGCCATCCACAGCATCTACACGTCCAGTGTTGGCCACAAATTCTGGCGGTCTCTCTTGACAGGACCGCGTTCCGGCGCTTGGCACTGCTGGTGCACCCAGACAAGAACCCAGGGGACGAGGAGAGCATCTTGACGAGTTGGCGTTGAACATAACAAGAAACGACCCGATCGATGCACACCTTTGCTTTGACCATGGCTCAAATGGCTCTGTGTTCTGTGAGGGTACTAGTTCTAACACGGGGAAAGCATGGGGAAAAAACCATGGGGAACCCTCTGAAAAGCGGTTGGTGAACCTGGCACACCTAAACGAGGTCGACCAAAGGGGTCACCAATTGGCACGCATAGCCATTTGGTTCCCCCCGTTCCTGTTCGGTTTGCTTTGGTTCCCATTTCAAGACCGGGTTTGCACTTTTATTGTGGACCAGAATCAAAGATGCGATTCTTGGTTGGGCCACAAATTTCCTGAGCGGTCTCTTCAGACCCACTTTCCACATGGGTCTTTTGCCCTGAACAGAAAGCCTAACCCTTTGGAGGTTGAACAAGGCCTAAGGTCCGAAGCATACACCAAAGACCAGCCAGGTTGTGGATACCTCATTTGGTTTCCCTTGGAGCACCCAACAGTCGTTGTCGCAGAGTTTACCCTTCTTTGGAGAACGCCCGCAAGCCGTTTTACAAAGCAGACGTGTTTTTTGTTTCCTACAAGATGCGAGGTTTTCCTTTTTGGCTTTTCCCAGGCAAACCAAATCCTGAGCTCTGGGCAAAGCTCTTCAGGCCACGCTTGTCCGGATTGTTTTGAATACTTGCTTATTGACTCGAAGAACTTAGTGGATCGCCGGAACTTTCAATTCGGGGCGATGCTGGAATGCCGCCCTCTGCTGCAGAGCGGTCCGGAAGTGCAGAATGCTCGAGTCGGGATGAAGCACCTGCACAAACAACAATCAGGTTTCTTGTCTAGCGTTTTCTTGCCACCAGCATGACTCCATCCGCAAGGAGACGCAATCAAACTCTCTCCCAAGGATCCAAAGGGCTGAGGTACTCTGACTCCTTGGCTCTCAAAATACATCCTCAAGTGGTACTTGGATCCGGATCCCCACACCACATCTCTTGCCTTTTGCTTTGCGGATGGACGCCAGGAGCGCTGTAACAAAGCGCTGCTGCGCGCGCAGAGCGCGCGGGAGAGCGCGCTGAATCTGCTGCAAGCGCCCAAAGCGGCGCCGACTGCGGCGGCTGCGCCGGAGGCGCTGTGTGGCTTTCTTCAGGCAAAGGACAATCATGGCTGTGGGCCAAAACCAATGGGATCCCATTTTGGGGTAGGTGAATTCACCACCCATTTTAGAGCCTATTTTAGTGGGGATTGGGATATTCACTGGGGGTACGATTTGGATTTTGACCCCTGGCCTCATGTGTAGCATCCCACAGGGACCCATGTGTGATCGAACCTTAGGATCACCCAACTTTTGAGTCTATGGCCAAGGCAAGGACATCAAACTCTCAGTATTCCACAAAACAACAGGGAAAACTCTCTAAGCATCTATTCTTTCCATGTCCGCCTTTTGGGTTTTAGCATTTTTGAGTGTGTCAACCACATGGTTTCCCTTTGGTTTCCTTTACACACGGGCCCCACCCAGGATACTCTCAATCAGTACTGTCTACCGTGGTTTGAATGAGGTGTCGCTGTAGCTTGTGGCTACTGGCGAGGTTCTGGGCACCTGTCGGCGTCATTGATTGTAAAGACCCTTAAAAAGGTCAAGTGAGTTGCTAGTTCGCGGTATGGCGGCCATTGGCAATATGTACGAAGCAGAACAAAACAGGGACATCGAAAGCCGATAATTATCCCAGCAGATCGCCAAGCATTTGATCTGCAGTAAATGCAGGACGAATTGACATGCCGTCTTGGAACTGACGTTTATGCCGTGCGTAAGACTGTGAGCACAAGCTGAAACCTCTGTAACTGGTAACACGGCATCATTCAAATCGCTTGTCGGAGGCTAGCAATGCGCTTCAGGCATCGCCATCCCTGAACCAAGTTGCCGGATTACATGCCGACTCTCCATGTCCGCTGTTTGCTCTCTCGAGAGTCGAGGCAACGGCTGCGGCAGGATGCACTGTAACAGGACTGGGCTTTTTCGAGTTGACTCCGGGACAGCTTCAGCAAAGGCGAGCAAACGTTCAGACACAAAGAGTAAAGTGTCGGACTAAATCCATTTCGCGCCATGAACGGGTCCCTCCTCTGGTAAACCACCAACGGGTGCCGATTGATTCGCCAGAATTTGGTTCATCTGCATGGGACCCCTTGGCTTCCGCGCAGGCGAGACCAGCGACCAAGGGTCCAGCACCGCGGCCCAGGCACGGGTGGGTAGTCTCGAGCTAGTGTGTGTGTGTGTGTGTGTGTGTTTTTGGTGTTTTTGTTTATTTATTTGTTTATTTAGTCAGTTGCAGACGATCACATTGATGGTTTATGTTGGACAGGTGCGTACAATCACGACTGGCAAAGTGTTGAACCATGTTGTTGCATTGCTTGGAGGAACCCATACCAGATTCATGTTCTGTGTTTCAATTAACTCAGCAACGCATCGCGGTGTTGAGACCTAGGATTCTTGTCGAGATAGAGGTGTTGGTGTCCCTATATAGACTATGTTGCGTGCACATCAGTTTTGCAAATTGTGATGTGGGCGAAGTCCACGTGCAGGGGGGTCGTCGTATACAAGGGCCCGCAAGGAGGGGCATACTAAGAAGGGAAGGGGTCGCCGCAGTCCACGTTTAGGAACCCCCTATGTGTGCACCTGGACGTCCGTGGACTCTGACATGACCGCTCCGAGACGTGGACTGCCTCTCTGCGTGGACCCCTATGCATGACCACTCCTGCACGTGGGTGGACACCTGCACCGCACCCCTCTGCAGGGACCCCTATACATGGACCCCTACACGTGGACCTCTGCTTGTAAACCCCTACACAACGTGGATCTGTCCGCGGACCTCCCTTGCCTGCGTGGACAAGGAACCCCTCCTTTATTCCAGGTACACGACTCCAAGTAGGAAGGTGCGCACACAGAGGAAGGGTCCATGTACAGGAACGGTCCAGGTATAGGGGGCGTCCACGTTGGAAGGCTGCATTGGGAAGGAATCCTTGGACGCGCTGTTATCATTTTAACATTCTTCATGGGAAGAGGTTATTCTTGCACGCCTTGCTCCTGGTGATTTTGGGTTCATTGGTTCCTGGCCGCTTCCACCGGTTCCTGAACAGTACGGTTCCCAGCGGTTGGGTTCCCGGTTCCGGTTCGCTTCCGGAGCCTTAGTGTCAGCTTTTGCAGCAATGCTGCTTGCAGCAATGCCTATCCACACACTTGTCCAATTAAGTTACAGGTTCCAACAAGATAGAATATCAATGTGACATAGAATATATTTTGACCAGATAACTCTTTTTATTGGACACCATGAGATAGGATATTGGACCAATGAATGGAATAAAGGGTAACAGCCGTTTCCAGTAGGCGATCGTCAATCTGGTAGGGACATGAGGGCATTCGGGCAATTTCCCCGCAATCAGGAGACACGCGATTTCCCATGCCCACAGGAAGCACACATTTCGAGCGTGGCTCAAAAGGCCAACCCCAGTATTTGGTCACTCCCAAGCGCTTGTGACTCTTTGCATGGATACAGGGTTTACTTGATGGTCCCCAGCTACTTACGTTTGTAGGTGTTTGGTTGCTTTAGTCCGGGTTTCGGTATTTAACCCACTAACAGTGTGTCACTTCTAGCAGATCAGGACAGCCCAGTTCAGTTATGACAGCGGGAAAGAGACCGGGTTGCAATGCGGCTTCTGGCGGGCATCTTTGAATGTGCCTTTGCTTGGTGGTTCCCAGCCATCCGGCTCCTGAGGTTTTTAGGTGGTATTTTGAACACTAACCGCTAAAAGTTTGACGTTTAGCGGGGGATCCAGTTTATTGAGCCAACACACTTTGCTCATGGAAATCATTGCCACCTCTAGATATCCAAGATACTCACGTTTTCACATCTTGAGGTAGGCGTATCCAAGCGAGGGTCCTGACCGCGGACATCAATTGATAATTTGCTTTGCATTGGAAAAGTGTAGACCAACGACTCAGCTCCATAGATGTCCTTTCTGTATAGTTTAGTTGAGAAATACAGGGCCCTGGTATAGCTATTGCTTTAATCATTTACCAGGGCATTTATTTTCCCAAAAGGACACCCATGCTCAGCCCACCTAAGCATTTAGGCGTGCAGCTGGTCAGATTGGGTGATGTTAGATGTCGACTGGTTATTATAAAGCATGTTTGTGACACATGCCCATCTTAGAAGTTGCATCCATCCCTGCTCACGCATCCATGTCCAGCATTTATTCTCTGGATGCTTGATATAGTATGGATATGGACACCCAATGACTCAGACTTTGCGTTAGAAGTATTGCCCACTTGTTCACCGCGGAAGGCGAGAACATTGACATCAGCTCGCTGATGTAAGGTTGACGAAGTCAGCTGCATGCCGTCAGATTGAGGGAGACATCAATGCAAATAAAATATCAAGAGACAATGCCATGTTCCTGGAAACACTCCTTCAAGCATGTCTGTCTTTGTCAACCACCAATTGCGCAAACACACACACACACACACACGGTTGCCAAACATGAATGGGGTCCTCGTGCCCCTTGCGTTTCTTTTGACATGGCACCACATGCCAGGTTCAAATAGTCTTGTTTATTGGGCTTAAGCAAAAACGGTCATGAACCTCAAAGGATTCCGGGCAACGATTTGCAGTCCGCTGTAAACATAGGCGTCCTTTGCAGGTTAGTTTGGTTAGACATAGATGGCGCTGGTTGACCTGGTTGTTTCATCATCTAGCCGGGTCATCTTTTGGTCCAATAGGTCACCTACTGTGGATGGACGAAATCCTGCACCAGTTTGAAACTATGGGGAATCATGGTTTGTTGGTATTTACAGGGGAATCGAATTATTCCAGGGTTTCTTAGGTGGTGCGAATGGATTTGGTCCATCCGCAGTATGGCTGTTTCCGGCAAACGCTTGGCCCATGCCAAAATGTTGCGAGTGGGCCAAACCATCCAGGGACGATGCTCCAGCCCGCGAGCCTCAGAAGCGCGCCGAGTTCCCGAGCCCCGAGGCGTTGGAAGCTGGACGTTGGTTATGGTGGGGATTTGGGTGGAGTGAGTTGCTTCACACGGTGGATGGCCGAAATCCATGCAACGCATCACCCAAGAATCCCTGGAATGATGATTCTGTTGCAAACACCAACAAACAATGCTTTCCCATCCACAGTATCAGCTTCCCTCCAATTGGTTTGGTTGGTGGTTTGGTGGTTGAGGGGGCGTTTCCCATCTACCCTCAAGATTCAGGGGTTGAAATCCCAAACCACCAATCCAAACCACCAATTACAGTAAGGGTAACCTGATCATAAGAGGTGACGTGTGACTTCAGCCAATTGGTTGGTTTTTTCCGTGTTGCTTTCAAGAGCGGATATTGGTTTTGCGCTGAATCACGCGCCTACAGGATCTTCCCATTTGGGGGTTGATCAAAAGGTTGACCATTCGGGAAAACACCAAGGATGACTTTCACTAAATGGGAAAGTCACCTATGGTCCATTTTGGGTAGAAATATTGATCAACCCCCATCTCTCAAAACCAGGGGTCCAAATATCCACAGTGGGGAAGGTACGTCCTGCGGTCTCAAGAAAGCCAAACCACGAGGAGGTAAGGTGACACCTCTTCGAACTGGAATGCCGCTTGACGTTTCGCCAAACGGATCGTAGAGACACATCGTTGCCTCAATCAATTCCTCGGCAGATTGGGTGATTCATAGCTCCCTGACGAGAACAGCTGCTCGTGCCAGAGTGGAGCAACCAGCAAGGATTGGCTCGCTTTGCAGGGCATCGCGCACCAAAGCCAAGTTCAACTGTTTCCCATGGGACTCATTCAGCCGTTTCCAGTCCAGCTCTTTGTTCAGCCAAGCAAAACCATTGCAAGCTGAGCTCCACCAGTCCGATTTCCGTGTCGCGCGGGTGTCAGGCGTTCGTGGCCTATGCTTTGCAATACGTTCTCGTCGGGGGGCTTGGAAGCGGCAGAGCAGTGAAACTCCGTGTGTGGTCATTGCCAGGCTTGCAGTTGGGTTCTGC